CAATGCTATCCCCATCAAGCTACCAATGACCTTCTTCACAGAACTGGAAAAAACCACCTTAAACTTCATATGGAACCAAAAGAGAGCCCGCATAGCCAAGTCAATTCTAAGCAAAAAGAACAAAGCGGGAGGCATCACACTACCAGACTTCAAACTATTCTACAAGGCTACAGTAATCAAAACAGCACGGTACTGGTACCAAAACAGAGATATAGGCCAATGGAACAGAACAGAGGTCTCGGAGGCAACACAACATATCTACAACCATCTGATCTTTGACAAACCAGACAAAAACAAGCAATGGGGAAAGGATTCCCTGTTCAATAAATGGTGTTGGGAAAGCTGGCTAGCCATGTGCAGAAAGCAGACACTGGACCCCTTCCTGACACCTTACACTAAAATTAACTCCAGGTGGATTAAAGACTTAAACATAAGACCTAACACCATAAAAACCCTAGAAGAAAATCTAGGCAAAACCATTCAGGACATAGGTGTAGGCAAGGACTTCATGACCAAAACACCAAAAGCATTGACAACAAAAGCCAAAATAGACAAATGGGACCTAATCAAACTCCACAGCTTCTGCACGGCAAAAGAAACAGTCATTAGAGTGAATCGGCAACCAACAGAATGGGAAAAAATTTTTGCAGTTTACCAATCTGACAAAGGGCTGATATCCAGAATTTACAAAGAACTACAACAGATTTACAAGAAAAAAACTAACAAGCCCATTCAAAAGTGGGCAAAGGATATGAACAGACACTTTACAAAAGAAGATATATATGAGGCCAACAAACATATGAAAAAATGCTCATCATCACTGGTCGTCAGAGAAATGCAAATCGAAACAACATTGAGATACCATCTCACGCCAGTTAGAATGGTGATCATTAAAAAATCTGGAGACATCAGACGCTGGAGAGGATGTGGAGAAATAGGAACACTTTTGCACTGTTGGTGGGAGTGTAAATTAGTTCAACCATTGTGGAAGACAGTGTGGCGATTCCTCAAGGACCTAGAAATAGAAATTCCATTTGACCCAGCAATCCCATTACTGGGTATATATCCAAAGGATTACAAATCGTTCTACTATAAGGACACGTGCACACGAATGTTCATTGCAGCACTGTTTACAATAGCAAAGACTTGCAACCAACCCAAATGCCCATCGATGATAGACTGGATAGGGAAAATGTGGCACATATATACCACAGAATATTATGCAGTCATCAAAATGATGAGTTTGGGTCCTTTGTAGGGACATGGATGAACCTGGAAACCATCATTCTCAGCAAACTGACAGAAGAGCAGAAGATCAAACACCGCATGTTCTCACTCATAGGCGGGTGTTAAACAATGAGAACACATGGACACAGGGAGGGGAGCACTACACACTGGGGTCAGTTGGGGGGAAACAGGGGAGGGACGGTGGGGGGTGGGGAGCTGGGGAGAGATAGCAAGGGGAGAAATGCCAGATGTAGGTGATGGGGAGGAAGGCAGCAAATCACACTGCCACGAGTGTGCCTATGCAACAATTTTGCATGTTCTTCACATGTACCCCAAAACCTAAAATGCAATAAAATAAATAAATGGGGAAAAAGAAAAAAAAAACAGGAAAAAAAAAATATTCTAAATGTTTCTTCTGTCCTACAAGTTTTGTATTAGAATTGCATTTCAGGAACGAATGCATCTAATATTTCGCAGAGACTTATTCATTTGCAATAGAATATGCATCTTTCTACCATACGATGCCACTCCTCTAATTTCTTTAAAGTTAAGCCTATCAGAAACCAAAGGTGAAAAATCATGAAGTGAGAAAGTGCTATGTATGTTACTACCTTTATAGGATTAAGCTTTTCAACCTGTACTATCCTAAATATTTTTATAATTCTGTCTTTAAAACAGATTTAAAATTTTTTTTTAAACAGATTTCTGATTATATTTGAATAACATTTTTCCAAAACAGCCTTAATAGTATACCTAATTGGGAGAAAATACTGATTTTAAGGTGCAAAAAAACTAAAGAGTATTTTTAATACAACTTATACTATGTATATCTAATGACTGGCAGGCTACCCATTAGAATTCCTCATGGAAAAATAATAGATGATATAAACATAAAATTTTAGTTTCCATTTTAATATGTTTCCAAATAGTATCTGAAAAGAATGCTATAAAAAGACTAGAAAAGGGACTCCGAAAAGTTTTTCCACAAAGAGCTGGATAGTACATATGACAGGGCTTGCAGGACAAGAGGCAAAATGAAAGATATTATGTAGGTATTTTAGGTAACAAGAGTCACATGTTTTTCATTGAGGAAGTTCAAACTGTCATCAAAATAACTGAGTGTAATTTTTTGTAATGTAGAATAAATGAGAACAACAAACTTTTTTCTTGGGAGTTTGCTTAATTGAGATTCAAAGTTAGTACTCCATAATGAAACTGGGTACAAATGTTCAACTGTAAAAACTATTCCTAACTTGACAGTCATAGAAAAACAGGCAGGTTGACCAATAAGCCATAGCTTGCTGACCCCTGGGTTAGAAAAATCAAATAAATCATAGGTATGACACAAATATAACACCAATGTTATAAATGTAAAGATAAAACTATAAATCACTATAGTACAATTACAGGCCAGACGTGGTGGCTCATGTCTATAATCCCAACACTTTGGGAGGCTGAGGCAGGTGGATCACTTGAGGTCAGGAGTTGGTCAACATGGCAAAGCCCCATCTCTACTAAAAATACAAAAATTAGCTGGGTATGGAGGCACATGTCTTGTAATCCTAGCTACTTGGGAGGCTGAGGCAGGAGAATCACTTGAACCTGGGAAACGGAGGCTGCAGTGAGCCAAGATTACACTCCACTGCACTCCAGCCTGGGTGACAGAACAAGATTTCATCTCAAAATAAAATAAAATAAGTCAGGCACAGCGGCTCAAGCTTGTAATCCCAGCACTTTGGGAGGCCGAGGTGGGCAGATCACCTGAGGTCAGGAGTTCACGACTAACCTGACCAACGTGGAAAAGCCCGGTCTCTACTGAAAATACAAAAATCAGCTGGGTGAGGTGGCACTTGCCTGTAATTCCAACTACTTGGGAGATTGAGGCAGGAGAATCGCTTGAACCCAGGAGGTGGAAGCTGCGGTGAGCTGAGCTCATGCCATCGCACTCCAGCCTGGGCAATAAGAGAAAAACTACATCTCAAAAAAATAAAATAAAATAAAAAATTATCCCAACCCTATAAAATGGGCATATATAAACTGCAAATATTTATTTATTTTTCAATGTTTTCACAAGGCATACAAATATTTATTTTAAGGAAATTCTATAAAGTAGACCTAAAATTAATACTTTATCTAAAGTAAACACTAGTTATTTAATCAGCCATGCTTTGTTTGCCTCCTTAAAATTTAGAATTTGGTAACTAGAAGGCAGAAGCTTCTTCACTTCCTGGGTAATAAATACATAAAAGGTAGAAACTCTCAGTGTCCATCAACAGATGAATGGATAAGCAAAGTAAGCACATACAAACAATCACAAACACACACACAATAGGAATATATTCAGTCATACAAAGGAGGAACTTCTGGCACATGATACAAAATGGATGAACTCAGAGGACATTACACTAATGAAATAAGCCAGTCACAAAAAGCCAAATATTGTATGATTCCATTTAAACAAGATACCTAGAGTAGCCAGATTCATAGAAGCAGAAAGCAGAAGGATTATGGCTCAGACTGTGGGAAAGGAAAAGGGGGAAGTTACTGTTTAATGGGTAAAGAGTTTCAGTTTGGCAAGATGAAAACTGGAGATGGATGGTGGTGACAGTCGCACAACAATATAAATGTACTTACCTTTGAGCTACAGAGTTAAAATTATTAAGATGCTAAATTTTGTTAGTGTATTTTATCACAAGAAAATAAAACAAAATCGAATACAAAATAGAATTTGGGGTTAATGGTCTCCAAATAAAATTTTTGGGGGAAGCAAATTGAAGCTTTCTTTTCCTTTTGACAACTTTGTCAGTAAGCAGGAGTAGTTCACTATTCTTTTATTTATTTATTTTTTTGAGATGGAGTTTTTGCTCTTGTTGCCCAGGCTGGAGTGCAATGGCATGATCTTGGCTCACTGCAACCTCTGTCTCCTGGGTTCAAACAATTTTTCTGCCTCAGCCTCCCAAGTAGCTGGAATTACAGGCGTCAGTTACCACACCGAGCTAATTTTTGTATTTTAGTAGAGAAAGGGGTTGGTCAGGCTGGTCTCGAACTCCTGACCTCAGGTGATCCACTGCTTTAGCCAGAAGTAGTTTATCATCCTATTTATCTCAGAACAGAACTTGCCAGATGCCGTGGCTCACACCTGTAATCCCTGCACTTTGGGAGGGTGAGCCGGGTGAACTGATTGAGCTCAGTTCAAGACAAGCCTAGGCAACATGGTGAAATCCCGTCTCTACAATAAATACAAAAAATTAGCCAGGTGTGGTGGCACATGCCTGTGGTCCCAGCTATTTGGGAGTCTGAGGTGAGACGATTGCTTGAACTCAGCAGGCAGAGGCTACAGTGAGCCAAGATCACATCACTGCACTCCAGGCCTGGGTGAGAAGAGTGAGACACCATCCCCAACAAAAATAATAAATTGGTGCAGTGGTCAGTGGTGTGTGCCTGTAGTCCCAGCTACTTAGAAGGCTGAGGTGGGAGGGTCGCTTGAGCCTGGGAGAGCAAGGTGGCAGTGAGCTATGATCATGCTATTTCACTCCAGTGTGAGCAACAGAGACTCTGTTTCAAAAAAAAACCAAACCAAACCAAACCAAACCAAACAAAAAAACAACAACAGAACTTAAGGTTAATAATATTCTCTTCAAAAAAGACCACTGCATAAGTTAAATAGTTGGAAGCTTTTAATAATGAAGCCCTTTAAAGAAAAGAATCTGAGGAATAAATCTTTTGTATCTAGTTTGTTTCCTCTATCTTCTTCCCTTTTCCTTGGAGATTACCTTCTAAGAACCCAGCTTAGTTGCGTTTTCTGCTTTGGGATCTCATCTGGCTGCAATCGAAGTGTCAGCAGGGCTGCATTTTCATTTGCAGGCTTGAAAAGACAAGAACGCACTTCCAAAGCTTACTCAGGTTGAAGGCAGAATTCATTTTTTTTTTTTGGCTTTGGGACTGTGAGCTTCAATTTTTTTTTTTTTTTTTTTTTTTTTTTGCTGTTTGTCAGTCAGAGGCCAGCCTCTGCTCTTGGAGGCTATCCACAGCTCTCTGTCACATGGCTCTCTTCATAGGAAGTTCACAACATGGCAGCTTATTTCTTCAAGGCCAGCAGGAAATTAAGTGTGAGCCACAGGAGTCATACCTTTGCCATGTAACATAATCACGGGAATGACAGCCAATCACCTTTGCCATATGGCTATTGGTTAGAAAGCAAATCATGGGTTCTGCCAAAACTCAAGGAAGAAGATTACGCAAAAATATAAACATCACAACTGGGAGAAACCAATTGTACTTCTTAGCCTTTGAGTAGAGTGTCTAGGCTGGCACCCTCAATATCAGATGTTACTTACTTTCTTCACATTTTCCTACCGGTAGGGGGGAAAGAACCCCCAAACTCTACAGACTTGAATAAACATTTGTTTATAAGCAAATGATCTTTTTAAATCAGCAAGGCGTGGTAGCTCACATCTGTAATTCCAGCAGTTTGGGAGGCCGACATGGGAGAATCACTTGAGCCCAGGAGTTTGAGACCAGCCTGGGCCACATGGAGAAACCCCGTCTCTATGAAAAGTACAAAACTTACCTGGGTGTGGTGGTGTGCGTCTGGGTAGTCCCACCTACTTGAGAGGCTGAGGCAGGAGGATTGCTTGAGCCTGGGAGGCAGAGGTTGTAGCGAGCCAGAATCACACCACTGCGCTCTAGCCTGGGTGACAGAGGGACAGGACAGGATGGGAGGGGATGAAAAGGGAGGGGAGAGTTGGGGAGGGGATAAGAGATTGTCTAAATCTTGTTTATATATTTTCATTCACTTAATACTCTTGTCAGAAATAAACAAAAAAACCCAAAACAAAGCAAAAACACTTGCCTCTTAAAATTTTGTTTTTTAATCATGAAACAAATGATAAAAGGCAAACTAACTTCTGAAATGTTGTCTTCATTATATATTTTCTACTTTAGTGCAATTATGACAATCACGTAAGTGTATGTAGTATATATTTAAATTGTTTGACTAGTTTTTTTCTTGTAGAGTGCATGTCAGTGTGGAATAATAGAGTGTGTCTGGGCCAGGAGCGGTGGCTCATGCCTGTAATCACAGCACTTTGGGAAGCCAAGGCGGGTGGTTCACTTGAGGTCAGGAGTTCAAAACCAGCCTGGCTAACATGGTGAAACCAGGTCTCTACTAAAAATACGCAAAAATTAGCCAGGTGTGGTGGTGGGCGCCTGTAATCCCAGCTACTTGGGAGGCTGAGGCAGGAGAATTGCTTGAATCTGGGAGGCGGAAGTTACAGTGAACTGATGTGGTGCCACTACACGCCAACCTGGACAACAGATATCTGGTATTTGGCCTCAGTTCCTGGCATGAAGTTCCTAAAACCCTTGGTATTTTTGAAGTGATGAGTCTCTTTTTTATGCTAAATAGGCAATTCACTGTGGGCCCACTGAAGGCTTCAGAATCAGGGCTAGCCACCAGAAAGGCCAACTACATGAATAGAGGGTTAGAACTTTAGGCCCCTCTGACCTCCAGAGAGAAGGGAGCTGGAAAGTGGGTTCAATCACATGGCCAAAGATGGAATCAGTCATGCCTACTAATGAAACTCCAATAAAAACTCTGACACTAAACCTTGGTAGAGCTTTCTGGTTGATGAACACCTTGGTGTGTCAGGAAGGAGATACTCCCTGACTCCATAGGAAGAGGCCAGGCAGTTCCACATTCATTCCTATACCTTCCCTCATGTTTCTCTTCATTGGGCTGCTCCTGATTTGTATTCTTTATAATAAACCTATAATCATAAATATAGCTGTTTCCTGAGTTCCGAATCATTCTAACAAATTATAGACCAACAGGGTTCTCAGGAACTCCTAAATTTTTAGCCAAGTTGATTAGCTGGATGAAGAACTGAGCCCTTAACTTGTGGAGTCTGCATTAACTCTGGGTGGTTAGTGTCATAATTGGGAACTGAAGTACACCCAGTTGGGTTAGAAACGGAATAGATTATTCTTTACCAAAATTCTGACTAGTGTTACATATTCCAAATAATATGCCAACTCTTTGGATATACTGGGGGAGGGAAGGTTCTATGGCTTGAGGAAATATAATTCTAGATGATATTAATTTTAATTATTTTATTCTCTAGGTCTTTCTGGAATTGTTAAAATACACAGCATCAATACATCTTTTGCATACATTCATTAAAGTGCAGTAGAACAGTGGCATGTCATATTGTGCAAGTCTTCAGTGTCTTTTTTTTTTTTAAGACAGGGTTTTGCTCTGTTGTCCAGGCTTCAGTGTGAGTGGGGCAATCATGGCTCACTATAGCCTCAACCTCCTAGGCTTAAGTAATCCACTCAGTGCAGCCTCTAGAGTAGCTGGGACCACAGGCACAGGTCACCTTCCTTGCATGGATAATTTCTTTCTTTCTTTTTTTTGAAATGGAGTCTGGCTCTTGTCACCCAGGTGGGACTGCAATGGCATGATCTTGGCTCACTGCAACCTCCGCCTCCCAGGTTCAAGCAATTCTCCTGCCTCAGCCTCCCAAGTAGCTGAGATTATAGGCATGCACCACCACTCCTGTAATTTTTGTATTTTTAGTAGAGATGGGGTTTTACCAGGTTGGCCAGGCTGGTCTTGAACTCCTGACCTCAGGTGATTCATCCGCCTTGGCCTCCCAAAGTGCCGGGATTACAGGTGTGAGGCACCACACCTGGCCTAATCTATTTTTTATACAGATGAGCGTCTTGCTATGTTGACCAGGTTGGTCTTGAACTCCCGAACTCAAGCAATCATCCCACTTCAGTCTCTCAAGTGCTGAGATTACAGGCAGGAGCAACTACACCCAGCTAAGATTTCACTGCCTTTTGCAATGTATTATAGGCCACTTCTCACTTCTTTTCTTTTTCTTTCTTTCTTTCTTTTTTTTTTTTTTTTTTTGAGACTAAGTTTCGCTCTTGTTGCTCAGGCTAGAGTGCAATGGCACGATCCTGGCTCACCGCAACCTCTGCCTCCAGGGTTCAAGCAATTCTCCTGCCTCAGCCTCCCAAGTAGCTGGGATCACAGGCATGCGCCACCACACCCGGCTAATTTTGTATTTTCAGTGAGACGAGATTTCTCCATGTTGGTCAGGCTAGCCTTGAACTCCTGACCTCCAGTGATCCACCCGCCTTGGCCTCCCAAAGTGCTGGGATCACAGGCATGAGTCACCACACCCGGCCTACTTATTTTCTTAACATGGTAGAAAATGAACCAGGGACATCATCTTCCTTTCTAACATCCACGGCATCAATAACAATAAATGGAATCCATGATAGTAAAATAAAATTTTAAATCCTTGCTAGGCTGGGTGTGGTGGCTCACATCTGTAATCCTAGCACTTTGGGAGGCTGAGTAGGGAGGATTGCTAGAGCTCAGGAGTTTGAAACCAGCCTGGGCAACATAGTGAGACGCTGTATCTTAAAAGAAAAAAAAAAAACAATCCTCGACAGGTACCGTGGCTCATGCCTATGATCCCAGCACTTTGGGAGGCCAAGACGGGAAGATCACTTGAGCCCAGGAGCGCAAGACAAGTCCCGGCAACACAGTGAGACCCTGTCTCTACAAAAAAATTTGGAAATCTAGCCAGGTGTGGTGGTGCAGGTAGTCTCAGATACTCGGGAGGTTGAGGTGGGAGGACTGTGTAAGCCTGGGAAGTTGAGGCAACGGGGAGCATGGTAGCACCATTGCACTCCAGCATGCGTAACAGAGCAAGATCCTGTCTCAAAAAAAACAAAACAAAACAAAAATCCAATACTTACATTCTACAGTAAGAAGAAAAGTAATATACTGCTCTATTTTCCTAAATTTTGATATTCTTCTAGGTCAGTAGATAAAACCAAGGTAAGACAAAAATATAGAATTAGAAAGTTGCAAAGGAAGCAAGAAAGGACCTAAGTATAATGAACTTTTCAAATATTTTGTGTAAAGTACTATATTTATTATTTGTCTAAATTGTTTACTTATTTCTAGTTTTCAATCCAAACTAGAAAGCCTTCCCAGTGGCTGGTGCCTGTAAACCCAGCACTTTGGGAGGCCGAGGTGGGCAGATCACCTGAGGTCAGGAGTTCGAGACCGACCTGGCCAACATGGTGAAACTATGTCTCTACTAAAAATATAAAAATCAGTCAGGTGTGGTGGTGGGTGCCTGTAATCCCAGCTACTTGGGAGGCTGAGGCAGGAGAATCTCTTGAACCTGGGAGGTGGAGACTGCAGCGAGTTGATATTGTACACCATTGCATTCCAGCTTGGCAATGAGAGCAAAGCTCCATCTCAAAAAAAAAAAAAAAAAAAAAAACCAAAGAAAAAAGAAAACCTTCCCAAATCACTTTAATTTCCTGTATAATAGGCCACAAAAGTCAGCACTCCAAGCCGAGACACAGCATATTCCCTACTATATTTACCTGCTAGTAAGCAACTAATAAATGAGAAACAGAAAGTAAATCAAACGCACATATAGGTTAGTATAAATTTGGTTCTGAGATTTGGGGTTCTACCAATCTTCTTAAATCCCATTTCACCTCTAAGAACAACATAAAAAACTCAGTTTTTGTGGAACTCTCTAAACACGTAGGTCTTTCTAGACAGGGCTAGCTGGGTCCAGGGTATCCAGTGCCACCACGAACAGATAAAAATCCAAGTCCAGGGTGAACATAGCTCCAAATTATCAAAATGAGGCACCATTTGGAGCCATGCCAGATACTTAAACGTCCCAACTTCAGGATGGACAGACAACAATGAGCTTCTTCAGAAATAGAACCTATTTTTGAAGTATGTATCAAGCCAAAATGACACAATTATCAATGGGAAAGGTAAAAACAAAGTGAAACAAAAATAGAAGTTCTAATATAGTGCCAAGAAATAAAAAGTCTTTCCTAGATATGAGCTCTATTGCTAAAGTGACACTCATCATTTATTATGCTATCTAGTACTTTTATTTCCTGTCATTCTAGTACCTATTTAACAATGCAACACTAATTTTTTTCTGGACTTTTATCCTTACATTGGTGATATATATCTCAAAGGCATAAATTAAAATTTAAAAAATACTACCATTTACAAGAATGTATTCCCCTACCTAACAAAAAGACAGCTTTATAAGTTTACTTCTAAATAATGTCTGTACAAGTTTAAGTAGCTAAGAAAGGGTTTAGATACCTCAGATATCCAGTTAAAATCTACTTCCCTAGCTTCACAAATATAATTCAACAAATAGAATTTCTTTTAATCTTACACTAAACAAGAGTAGGAAAATAGGAAGTTTGTTTGAAAGGGGTGTGGGTATCTATTCCGGCCAGTCACCTAAGGAAATCCACCAAATGGATTGTCTCATATTCTTGAGTGAAACATTTGGGAAATAATCTAATCTCTTCAAATTTAGCTCCTCTTTTCCATGGGTTTTATAAAAATATATTGTTTTGTTTTTAAATGTTTGTTTGGATGTTATGGGTGTGTTCCTAAGAAACAGTTTTTCCTTTTTTTTTTTTTCCTACTGGTATAATACACTAAGCTTACTTAGATTTCACCAGCTGTACATGTACTCATTCCATGTGCTTTTATGGTCTGAAGTCATCACTTGGAGGCAACAATGGAAAAGAGCAGTGTTGGAGGGCTGGGATTCCTCCACTAGCTGTATGACCTTGAGTAAGCCACCTTAACCTATAAACAGGAAGTAATACCTGCCCTAATACATGATAGCCAATCATTTCACTTACACAAAAACTGAATATCTATTATATATTTTTATGAGATATGAAGGAAGATTCTTCTTGCCGTTTTGCCATTTTTCCCATAAGAAGCCTGGTGGTAAAGAGCACAGGCTTTAGAATCAGGAGTCCTGTTTCTTGAATTCTAGCTCTGTTGCTTGTTAGTTGTATGATTCCAGGCAAGTTACTTAATCTGCCTGCCTTCCATTTCTTTGTATGCCTGAGACAATTCCCACTTCAGAGGATAGTTTTAAGGATGAGATGAGGTAATTCAATGAGCATTCATCCAACATATAGGAACCATTGTGCTTACTGCTATACTGGATAAACATCCCCTTGTCCACCATATACGTGACATACATTGCTAGCCCTGGGATTAAAAACGACAATATAGTAAAGCGACATTATGGGAAGAAAATACTAAATTTTCTACCTAAGTATCTTCTTGGAACCAACAATAGGAATCTGACATGTTTTTGTGAGCTGTTACAAATGAATCTGCAAGAATGAATCCAAGTACAAAATATCAGGTCTTGATTTAGAAGATATTTCTGAACTAATAGCACGTTTCAAGTTAAGGTGTTCACCAGTGAACTTTGCCGGGCTGATGAACACAAGGTCACAAATGACAAGAAGATCAGAGTGATGGCATATACCATACACAACTGTGTAACCAGTATAGGACCTAGCGTAGGGTAAATGCTCATAAATATTAACTGAAAAAAATTAAGTTTGGTTTCCAACTCTGCCACTTCCCTAACGAGTGACTCTGGGTTAACTTGCCAGGATCTTAGTTTTCGGTAAAATAGAAATGTGTCTGCTTTGCCTATCTCATAGGATAGCTGTGATCAAATGAAATTACATGAGAATGTATCTAGCGCTAATAAAACGGTCATTTATGAGACACAGAATGACTACTGGCACCAGCTAGCCTACAAGCCTAATAGTAGAGATAAGACGTTAATGCATAACCACCAGGAAATAAACATGGAGATCCAGTGAAGAAATCCATCGCGTTTTCTAAAAATGTCACCTTCCTTGTGACGAAAGGAGCTGGTCATTGCTAGGCAGGTGTTGTGCATTTTTCAAATCACATGTTTCAGCACCAGGCTCTGCTGAGTGGCATTTTGCAAGGCTGAGCCCCCAGTAGGCACCGGCGCTGCTGGGGTGCGCACTGGGGACCTGCAGGTTACAAGTAGCGGATCCTACCCTTCAGGCCTGGCTCTGACAAGCACTCCAGGTAAGGCGCCTTTGCAGCTGGCCAAGCTAGAAAAGAGAGCTGGAAGCCACCTCCACCTTCTGCTGGGGAAAGGAACTGCCCGCCCTGTTGCCCCCATTACCTCGGACCTGCGGAGGGCGCCACGGACTCCAGCCTTGTCTCTCGCCCCAAGACTCACCCCGCGTTCTCGACCCCCGCGTCTCCCGCCAATCTCCGCGCCCCGGGTCCCTGCTTCCCGGCACGTACACGGCGCGCTAAGAGGCGCGGGCAGCTCGGCCCGGGCCGGCTACTTACTGGCTGCCTGGCGGGCGTCTGCGGTTGAACTGACCCAAGTCTCCCAGCACTGCCGCTCTCGAGGCTCCCTTTCGAGGACTCGACTTTAGTCAGAGCCCGAACAGCAACTCCCGTAGCCTTTCCAGGAACCGAAACGCTAGGTACCGCCGAAGGCGAAGAGGAGGAAAAAGGTCGAGACCGGGGCGGGGCGGCCGTTTGGACACGCCCCGAGCTCTCCTAGGTTCTCAGTCCCTGTCAGTCTGGGAAGCGCGGACCGGAGGAAGAGGCTGAGGACTCAACCTCCTTTCGCCCTGCGCCGTCCGGCCTCCCGCGTGACCCCCGCCTATGACCTCGGGGCGCTCCGCCCACTTCTGACCGTCAGATGCGCAGGCGCACTTGCAGGCTTGTTTTGCCAGCTTTACGCTACCCGGAATGGGGAAAAAGCAGGTGTCGCGAGAGTTGGGCGCACGACACCTTGGGCGCACGACACCTTGTAGGGGCTGTAAGTATGGCGGGCCTACATGTCGAGAGTGAACAGGAGCCGCTCTTGGGCGACACACCTGGAAACAGGTAAGCAGATCCTTGTGGAGGGACCCTTCAGCCTCCTGCGCTGTTGGGACTGGCTCCTTTCCGGGCATCAACCGTACTGGAACGAACCCTCGCTGCCAGAGGGGTGCCAGCGCAGTGGGAGCCGGCGGCCGGGTTGTGTGAGCCCAGGATATTCGCTCCCAACTTAGGGAAAAGTGCGTCTGGCCGCACGGTGCGACTAAGAGTCCGTGGGTTCGGGTGACGGGGCTAGAGAAACCCAGGCTGCTGCTTTCTGTTGCAGCAGCCAAGCCACCACATTCTGTATCTTCTGCGTTCCATATTTGGCCCTTTGTAGCTGATCACTTTCCATATTTCACATAAGTTCCAAAATGATGCTTTTAATGATACTTGAAGATGTCGGTCTTAGAATTGCCTGACAACTTCTTGATACTTTGTTAACAAGTAAACCTGTCTAAAATGAACTCACATTTGTCCTATGCCACATTTATAAATAAAGACTAATTTTAAGACATTGAAAGAATAACGCGTCAGTATTTTGATTCATGTAATTCTGGTTATTTTCATCCTGGTTTATGGACAGTGATTCAGAAATGTTTAACTTTTGTTTCTTACTGCATACTTATGTATTTTTAGCTTTAGGAAAACAATTATTATTTTATTTGAAATATATATATATAATTATCTCAGGTAAATTAATAAATTCAGTTAAATTTCAGCTGTCTATGACCATATTTTTACTCATTTGTTCCTCTCAAGTACCATCCTTTTTTGATCACTCTAACTCAAGACCCTTTGGAAAATGTATTTCTCTGGTCCTCAGTTTACTAAACAGTATATGGAATGCAGTTTTATCTTTACTTGATTTTATCTTGAGATCACTAAAACAAATGTCGATGCTGAAATGTATTTTAACAGGGTGATGTTCTTAGAGCCTATTGAGACATTTGGGACTGTTTGCTTCTATACTTTTTTATTTATTCTACGCTTTTTTGCTTTTTTTTTTTTTTTTTTTTTGAGATGGAGTCTCGCTCTGTGGTGCGATTTTGGCTCACTGCGATTTTCGCCTCCCAGGTTCAAGCCATTCTCCTGCCTCAGCCTCCCAAGTTACTGGGATTATAGGTGCAGGCCACCAGACCCAGCTAATTTTTGTATTTTTAGTAAAGACAGGGTTTCAGCATGTGGCCAGGCTGATCTTGAACTCCTAACCTCAAGCGATTCACCCACCTCAGCCTCCCAAAGGTGTGAGCCACCACGCTGGGCCCACTGCTATACTTTTTAAGTACTTATGCCTGCTTTTAGTTTTTCTGACTATTCTATTTCTGGCAGACTGTTCTGCATCATGTTTTTGAAATCTGGCAGCAACAGTTTTTTTTCTTGGTGTTGCTGTCACCATACTCTTTCCACCAGCTTTATTTTGGGGCTTCTTGTTTGTTATAGCTTTGATAACCTTGTATCTATGCTTAATATAATTGTGTGTCATTACAATCTGGAAGTTATGACTGAGAGCTAAATGTCTTTACTATTAGTTAAGTGCGTAAGCTTGAGTGCATGGACTTTGTGACATTTGGTTTTCTCAGAATTCTTTTTGCTTCTTCCTGGTTTTTAGCTATTTTCCAGAAAAATTGCAGATCCCTGAGTTATGGTTAAGTGTGGTCTTCTGGTACATTCTGTCACCTTGTACAAAAGAGAAATTATTTTCATACTCTTAACTTTGATTTGATCCAAGTAATTGATGCTCATTAGGATCTGTCCAAATTTAGGTGTTCCTGCCAATAATCAATACCTCTGATTGAGGTTCTAGATTCAGCATTTTAAAAACAAAAAAGGAATATTTTGAAAATAATCAATATGTCTTTAAAAACACAAGTATATTCCCTAGTAAAGTAAACCTATGTACAACTAGTTGGCAGGACCTATTCACTTTGAATATATTGCACAAACATGTCTGGGTCACCGCCAACCTTTCCTCACAAACAAGGTTGGTTGTTATTTGCTGGTCTGGTGGAGCTAGGCCTCTTGAATCCTCAGTGCTTCCCACTGACCCCCTCTATGGAGCTTTGCTTAAGACAACAGGAGTTGGCAAACATTACCTGTAAAGGCCCATATTGTAAATATTTTAGGCTGGTTCAGGGCAAGGGGCAAAATCGAAGATATTATATAGATATTTAGATAACCAGAAAACAAATTCCACAAAAATTTTTTGTAATGACATTTAAAATATAACAATAAATAAGTATAATGTAAGTCTGTTAATGAAAGGGATAGAATTTGGTGGGGGAGGGGATGACATTTTCCTTACTTGTACTTCAGAGTTGGTGTTTTCTGTCATCAAACTGATAACAAGTATTCATCTGTAAAAACCATTTGTAGCTCACAGGTTACTGATCCAATGTTACAAGTGGTTTCAAATTTTCCTTACAACCTTAGCCTAGTCTCTTTAAAATTTATATTATTAGGGCATCTGTCCTTCTAGAGTATATCTTTATAGAATATTTTCAGTTTGTCTTTTTATTTCTGTAACTGTTATACCACTACGTAGGCTCTTCTGTCAGTGAGCACACAATTCTTTCTTTTCTCTTTCTGTTTTGTTTTTTTTTTTTTTTTTTTTTTTTGTTTTTTTTTTAGACAGAGTCTCACTCTGTCGCCCAGGCTAAAGTACAATGGCAAAATCTTGGCTCACTGCAACCTCCACCTCCCTGCAACCCATGCCTTCCAGGTTCAAGTGATTCTCTTGCTTCAGTCTCCCAAGTAGCTGGGATTATAGCCGCCTGCCACCATGCCCAGCTAATTTTTGTACTTTTAGTAGAGTTGGGATTTCACCATGTTGCCCACGCTGGTCTCAGACTCCTGACCTCAAGTATCAAGTAGTCCACCTGCCTTGGCCTCCCAAACTGCTGGGATTACAGGTGTGAGCCACTGTGCCTGCCCATTGTTAAATTTTATCTAACTCATTTTGCTAATCAGTTCACTCCACTATATTATGTATTCCTTTTAATTTTTAAGTCACAAGTTCGACAAGCATGCTATCCTTTGGAGTATTTCAGTTTGTGATAGAAACGTTGAACAGGATAAAACTGTAGCACTACAGTTTTACTGGAAGGAGAATTTCATATAGGGAACTAATGCCAGAATACAACAGTAATTATAGAAAGGAATTTTAGAAGTTAAGCAAATCATCTTGAAAATGCAGCATTCCTGTTTATACCCTGGTAATACAAGAAAGAAGCCTCTGGAAATTCAATCTCAGGCGTGTGACACATTTGTCTGAATCATCAAAGTTAAGAAAATGTAATAAATATGGTCAATTCATTGAAGGACAATTGCATTCTCCTATGTTTCTACGATCTCCAACAAAGTAGAATGATATTTTTTTTTCACCGAAGTTATAATTTTTTAATTAAAAAGAAGGAAAAGTAAATCGTTTTATTTTGAAAAATGTTAAATCCATAGAAAAGTTGAAAAAAATCATGAACACTCTCTGTCCTGTCACTGTTAGCCTTTTCCACACTGCTGAAATTTTTCCGTGGGTACACACACACCCACACACCCACACACACTTCTTTTGCCAAACTACTCAAAAGTAGGTTGCAGACATTGTGACACTGTGTCCCAAGTATCCCAGATTGCAGCTTACATCTCCCAAGAACAAAGAAATTATTTTACACAACTCCATCACTGTTACCACAACTAGAAATACAATATTAATTCAAGAATATCATGTAATATATAATTAATACTCAATGTTTTTACAATTGTTCCAAAAATATACTTTATATTCTTTATAAAAACAAAAAACCAGCAGCCATATAGACGAGCTAATCAATGTTTATGCATTCATTGTTGTGTCTTTTTAGACTCCTCTAACCTAAAACTCTCCTTTGACCTATCTCTGTTCTTGTCACCATTAAAATATTTGAAGAGTCTAGGTCAGTTTTTCTGTAGAACATCTCATATTCTGGATTTATGGACTGTTTATTTCAAAATAGACCCTGGCCATTTCTGGCAGGAATATCACATAGGTTGTGTTGAGAACATCCCAGTACATTACATTAAAAGATACGATAGGATGCCAGGACATCCTACTTTTGAGAATGTCAAATGTGACCACTTGTTAAGAGGGCGACTGCTATATGTTTGAATTATAAAGGTTAGTGTTCCATTTTGTAATTAGTAAGCAGACGTTGGAGTGACACTTAAGGGCTTTTGACTATCCTTTCCTTATCAACCTTTCAACCAGTTGTTTCAGCATCCATTGGTGATTCTTCCATTATTACATGGAAAGTAGCCTTTAAATTATTATTTTCTAATTTTATCCTTTCAATATTTAATAATTGGCATTAAAAGAAGAAAGATTTTGACTGAGCTCTAAATCAGTTTGAAGGCACTCAAACAATTGTGTTATATATTTTTGGAATCAAATAATTTACTTCTTGATTCCCTAACTTAGATATATCTGATTTTTTATTCAAATTCTAGTATATTGATTTCAAAGTATGGGCATCTGGGGTTCTGGTATTTTTTCAGGTAAGTTACATTATCATTAAGGTCTTTTGTTTTTATTTTTTTCTTACCTACTCTCCTTTGACTCGGAAGAGGCTTGTTTCTATGGAATTGTATATACAGTGTTAAACACTTTATGTTACAAACTAATACATTTGGCATGTAATACATCTAAAAAATATTGTTTCTCTTCTCCCTTTCTTCTTTATCTCTCCCAACCGTATCACATTTGAAAAAAAAAAAAAAAGTTTTATTTTTGGAGACAAATTTGACACTTTTAAGAAACTAATCTTGGAACGTAGGAAGGCATTTTGTCTGTTCTGCATGTCTTGATTATTTTGAAAAGATAATGCTCACATTAAGGTAAACTTGTTAACTCTTTCTATTGTATGTGTGAAAATGTAATGGATATATAGACTCACGTGTCACCTAATGGAGGTAGGATGTCTAGTTAGTATACATGCCCTTGGTCCAGGTCAGATGCTTATCTGAAAGATCAGTTAAGTCTGAGGGTTCATGGTCTCTCTTTGGTCTGCTGGTAAAATTTATCTGTTAACTCATTAAGGAGATCCGAAAGCTGAAAATGTCTTAGGGTTTTTTTTTTTTTTTTTTTTTTTTTTTTTTTTTTTTTTTAAACAGAGTCTCACTGGGTCGCCTAGGCTGGAGTGCAATGGTGTGATCTCAGCTCACTGAAACCTCTGGGATTACAGGTGCATGCCACCATGCCCAGCTAATTTTTTGTATTTTTAGTAGAAACGGGGTTTCACTATGTTAGCCAGGATGGTTTTGATCCCCTGACCTCGTAATCCCCCTGCCTCAGTCTCCCAAAGTGCTGGGATTACAGGCGTGAGCCACCTGCGCCAGCCTGTCTTAGGTTATGTTGAACGTCCTGTTATCACTCCTGTTTTCTGAAGTAGGAAGCCAAAATAGCTGCCTGCAGCAATTTAATTTGCTGTCATCAAGTAGAGCATGTGATACTGATTACAGTTATTAGTTTTTAAGTACTTAGTAGCAATGGGAGATCTAATTGTAGTTAGTTTATCTTGATATAGTTTATTCATTGTTAGTTTTACAAATTACAACACTCTTGATTAATAAATTTGTGCATGCTAACAGTAGCAAAATAATTGCCCTGCAAAATGTTTCCCCTTTAAAAACTATACTGTTTCCCAGATTTCTATATACAATGATACATAAATACAATCCATGGAAATTCAAAAGAATAATGCTTACTCATAAATTAGTGCAGCAGAACAAATATTAGTAAATTCTACCTCTATCACATCATTTTCATAACTCTAGGAGAAAACAAAATTGTTGGCACTAAAGATCCGCATGTAATGAGATAAATTTATCCTACTTTTTTCTTCTTTATACCTAGAGAATGGGACATTTTAGAGACTGAAGAGCATTATAAGAGCCGATGGAGATCTATTAGGATTTTATATCTTACTATGTTTCTCAGCAGTGTAGGTAAGTATTAGAAATACATGATTTTAACAATTCAGATCAAATGTCATATTTTAACTTCATTTACTTTTTAAAAATTATTTTTGTGTTAAAAAGTGTATAACCTAAAATTGGTCATGTTACCATATCTTAAGTTCAATAGCCTTAAGTATATCCACTTTGTTGTGCAGCCAATATCTAGAACATTTTCATCTTGCAGAAGAGAAAATCTATACCCATGAAACAACTCCCTATTTTCCTATCCCCCGGCCCCTGGCAACCATCATTCTACTTTGTTTCTTGGAATTTGACTACTCTAAATAGCTCACATAAATTAATTATATAATATTTTTCTTCTTGTGGCAAGCTTATTTCACTCAACATCATGTCCTCAAGTTGATCCATGTTGCACTTGTGATAATTTTCTTTTTTTTTTAATTAATTATTTTTTGTTTTGAGACGGTGTCTTACTCTGTTGCCCAGGCTAGAGTGCAGTGGCACGATCTCAGCTCACTGCATCACTGCAACCTCTGCCTCCTGGTTTCAAGCAATTCTTTGCCTCAGCCTCCCAAGTAGCTGGGATTACAGGTGCCCGCCACCATGCCCAGCTAATTTTTGCATTTTTAATAGAGACAGGGTTTTACCCTCTTGGCCAGGCTGGTCTTGAACTCCTGACTTCGTGATCCACCCACCTCGGCCTCATGAGTAGCTGGGATTACAGGTGCTTGCCACCATGCCCAGCTAATTTGTGTATTTTTAGTAGAGACAGGATTTCACCATCTTGGCCAGGCTGGTCTTGAACTCCTGAACTTGTGATCCACCCATCTTGGCCACCCAAACTGCTGGGATTGATAATTTCCTTTTATTTAAAGGCTGTGTAGTCCATTATACTTATTGTAGGGTAGGAAAAACTTTTCCTCTATTGTCTTATGTTATGTGCCTGAGGCCTGTGAATTAAGCTGACAAAAGAAAGACTAACAGTTAAAAAAGTTTGGCTGGGCACAGTGGCTCACGCCTGTAATCCCAGCACTTGGGAGGCTGAGGCAGGTGGATCACGAAGTCAGGAGTCCGAGACCAGCCTCGCCAATATGGTGAAACCCCATCTCTACTAAAAATACAAAAATTAGCTGGGCATGATGGTATGCGCCTATAATCCCAACTACTGGGGAGGCTGAGACAGAAGAACAGCTTGAACCCAGGAGGTGGAGGTTGCAGTGAGCCGAGATCGGGCTACTGCACTCCAGCCTGGGTGACAGAGCAAGAGTCTGTCTAAAAATAATAATAATAATAGTAATAATAAAGTTTACAAATTTATTTGATGTTAATATTTTTTAATGAAAAGAAACAAAAAACAGTATTAAGGAGTGCATATACAAATGAAACTAGACAACTGCTAAGAGTCCCTAACACATTTATGTACTCAGAAAAGTATTTCATCTTTTTTTTTTTTTTTTTTTTTTTTTTTGAGATGAAGTTTTGCTCTTGTTGCCCACCTGGAGTGTGATGGCGTGATCTTGGCTCACTGTAACCTCTACCTTCCAGATTTAAGCAATTCTCCTGCCTCAGCCTCCCAAGTAGCTAGGATTACAGGCATGTACCACCACACCTGACTAATTTTGTATTTTTAGTAGAGACAGGTTTCTCCATGTTGTTCAGGCTAGTCTCAAACTCCTGACCTCACATGATCCACCCCCCTCAGCCTCCCAAAGTGCTGGGATGACAGGCATGAGCCACTGCACCCAGCCAAAAGTATTTTACCTTTACAGCTGTCAGTGAATAATTTGTTTTGCTAGTTCTTGAAAATGTGCAAAATTTCTTTAAAAATTTATTTATTTATTATTTGAGATGGAGTCTTACTCTGTTGCCCAGGCTGGAGTGCAATGGTACCATCTCGGCTCACTGTAACCTCTGCCTCCCAGGTTCAAGCAATTCTCATCCCTCAGCCTCCCAAGTAGCTGGGACTACAGGCATGAGCCACAATGCCTGACTAATTTTTTTGTATTTTTAGTAGAGACGGGGTTTTGCTTGTTTGTCAAGCTGGTCTCAAACTCCTTATCTCAGATGATGCACCCTCCTTGGCCTCTCAAAATGCTGGGATTACAGGTGTGAGCCACTGCACCTACCCAGTGCAAAATTTTATAAGTTTAAATATACAGTCTTAATTAGACCAGTTTGTTAATGTCCCAAGACAGATTGTAGGTAAAGAATTTCAATTGTGTCGCAAAGAACTAAAAACAAAACAAAATTCAATCTATTATCTACATTTAGGCAGAAAGAGGGAGAGCAGAGACCCCTTCCTACATCTGCTATTTCTAGTTGCCTTCAGCTTGAAATAATTAATATGGCAAAACAGCATATTTTTGGAGTAGCGTACTCGGATCCCCTTCAGTATATGCCACATTTTGTTTAGCCATTTATTTGTCGTTGGACATATGGGTTGCTTCCACCCCTTGGCTATTGTGAATAATGCTCTCTCTCAGTCTTTTTGGGTATATACCCAGAAGTGAAATTGCTGGATCATATTATAATTTTCTTTTTAATTTTTTGAAAAATTACCATACTGTTTTCTGTAGCAGCCACACCATTTTATTTACATTCTTACCAACAGTCAGGGTTCCAACTTTTTCACATTCTTGCCAACATTAAATTTCTGGGTTTTTTGTTTTGTTTTGTTTTGTTTTTGATTATAGTCATCCTAGTGGATGAGATGGTATTTCATTGTTGTTTTGATTTGCATAACCTTAATGATTAGTGATGTTGAACATGTTTTCTTGTGCTTACTGTCCATTTGTGTATCTTCTTTGGAGAAGTGTTTGTTCAAGACGTTTGTCCATTTATTAATTAGATTTTTTGGGTTTTTGTTGAGTTGTAGGAGTTCTTCATATATTCTGGTTGTTAGCCTTTCAAGCAATATATGATTTGCAAATATTTTCTCCTATGCCAGTACTCTTCTATTCAGTGTACTAAATGTATCCTGGGATTTACAGAAGTATTAACTATTGATATAGTCCACCTTATCTGTTTGGTTTTTTTTTTGTTTTTTTTTTTTGAGACGGAGTTTCGCTCTTGTTACCCAGGCTGGAGTGCAATGGCGCGATCTCGGCTCACCGCAACCTCTGCCTCCTGGATTCAGGCAATTCTCCTGCCTCAGCCTCCTGAGTAGCTGGGATTACAGGCACGTGCCACCATGCCCAGCCAATTTTTTGTATTTTAAGTAGAGACGGGGTTTCACCATGTTGACCAGGATGGTCTTGATCTCTTGACCTCGTGATCCACCCGCCTCGGCCTCCCAAAGTGCTGGGATTACAGGCTTGAGCCACCGTGCCCGGCCTGTTTTTTTTTTTTTTTTTTTTTAGGACAGAGTCTTGCGTTGTTGCCCAGGCTGTAGTGCAATGGCACGATTTCGGCTCCCTGCACCCTCTGCCTTTCAGGTTCAAGTGATTCTTGTGCTTCAGCCTCCCTGGTAACTGGGACTGAAGAAGCCACCACACGTGGCTAATTTTTTTATTTTTAGTAGAGACACGGTTTCGCCATTTTTGCCAGCCTGGTGTCAAACTCCTGACCTCAGGTGATCTACCTGCCTTGGCCTCCCAAAGTGCTGAGATTATAGGCATGAGCCCTGCACTCAGCTTTTTTTTTCTTTTGTTGTCTGTGAACCTCATCTTATTTTATATTGATACAACGTAGAAACAGTAAAATACAAGAATCTTAATTTGTATTGCTTGATGTATTTTAACCTATTCATATTATTTCTGAACATGTAGTTACTGAAAAGTAAAACTTCATGAGGAAAACTTTTCAAAATATTAACATATAACCATGTTAAAAGGATGGGATGAGAATGTATAGGGAATGATCAATATTGTAATAGTTTTTAAAGGACTGTTTTAGGAAGTGAATTTTTTTCCAAGTTGAAACCCTCTAAATCTATAGGCACTAATATTACAAGGGGTCTCTTTCCCTAAGAGGAATTTAAAGAAGATTATTTTACTAAATTATTTTTCATATATTTTCTATTTACCCCAGTCACCCTCTAAATCTATAGGCACTAATATTACAAGGGGTCTCTTTCCCTAAGAGGAATTTAAAGAAGGTCATTTTACTAAATTACTTTTTGTATATTTTCTGTTTACCCCAGTCATCCACACTTGTGCATGATTCAATACTGGGTAAAAAGAAAAGTGAACGATAAAGGATATTTTCAGTAATTTTTTGTAATATAGTTTCACCTTGTATTGTGTATCAGAATGCCTTGTGCAGGGCTAGGCATGATGGCTCACGCCTGTAATCTCAGCACTTTGGCAGGCTGAGGCAGGCAGATCACCTGAGGTCAGCAGTTCAAGGCCAGCCTGGCTGACACGGTGAAACCCTGTCTTTACTAAAATACAAAAATTAGCTGGACTTGGTGGTGGGTGCCTGTAATCCCAGCTACTTGGGAGGCTGAGGTGGGAGAATCACTTGAACCTGGGAGGCAGAGGTTGCAGTGAGCCAAGATCACGCCACTACACTTCTGCTTTGGGGACAGAGCAAGACTGTCTCAAAAAAAAAAAAGGAGGGCGAGTGCTGGCAAGATGACCAAATAGGAACTGCCTGGTCTGTGGCTCCCAGCGAGATCGATGCAGAAGGTGGGTGTTTTCTGCATTTCCAACTGAGGTACCCAGATCATCTCACTGGGACTGGTTGGATAGTGGGTGCAGCCCATGGAGAGCGAGCTGAAGCAGGGTGGGGCATCACCTCACCCAGGAAGTGCAAGGGGTTGGGGGATTTCCCTTACCTAGCCAAGGGAAGCTATGAGAGACTGTACTGGGAAGAATGGTGCATTCTGGCCCAGATACTAAGCTTTTCCCATAGTCTTCGCAACTGGCAGACCAGGAGATTCTCTTCGGTGCCTACGCCACCAGGGCCCTAGGTTTCAAGCACAAAACTGGGTGGCCGTTTGGACAGACACCAAGCTAGTAGCAGGAGGTTTTTTGTTTTTGTTTTTGTTTTTTCATATCTCAGTGACACTTGGAACACCAGCAAGACAGAACTATTCACTTCCCTGGAAAGCGGACTGAAGCCAGGGAGCCAGCTGGTCTAGCTCAGCACCCACATCCACGGATTCCAGCAAGCTGAGATCCACTGGCTTGAAATTCTCACTGACAGCACAGCAGTCTGAGATCGACCTGGGATGCTCAAGCTTGGTGCAGGGAGGGGCATCCGCCATTGCTGAGGCTTGAGTAGGCAGTTTTACCCTTACAGTGTAAACAGAGCCACTGGGAAGTTCCAACTGGGCAGAGCCTACTGCAGCTCAGCAAGGCCACTGCAGCCAGATTGCCTCTCCAGATTCCTCTTCTCTGGGCAGGGCATTTCCGAAAAACAGGCAGCAGCCCCAGTCAGGGACTTATAGATAAAACCCCCATGTCCCTGAGACGGAGCACCAAGGGAAAGGGGTGGCTGTGGGCACAGCTTCAGCAGAGTTAAACGTCCCTACCTGACAGCTCTGAAGGGAGCAGTGGATCTCCCAGCATAGCATTTGAGCTCTGGTAAAGGACAGACAGCCTCCTCAAGTGGGTCCCTGAACCCTGTGTATCCTAAGAGACACTTCCCAGTAGGGGCCGAGAGACACCTCATACAGGAGATCCCTGGCTGGCATCTGGTGGCTGCTCCTCTGGAATGAAGCTTCCAGAGGAAGGAACAGCCAGCAATCTTTGCTGTTCTCCAGCCTTCACTGGTGATACCCAGGCAAACAGGGTCTGGAGTGGACCTCCAGCAAACTCCAGCAGACCTGCAGCAGAGGGGCCTGCTAAAAGGAAAACTAACAAACAGAAAGGAATATCAACATCAATAAAAAGGACGTCCACTCAGATACCCCATTGAAAGGTCACCACCATCAAAGACCAAAGGTAGATAAATCCACGAAGATGGGGAGAAACCAGCATAAAAAGTCTGAAAATTCCAAAAACCAGAATGCCTCCTCTCCTCCAAAGGATCACAACTCCTTACCAGCAAGGGAACAAAATTGGATGGAGAATGAGTTTGATGAATTTACAGAAGTAGGCTTCAGAAGGTGGGTAATAATAAACTCCTCCAAGCTAAAGGAGCATGTTCTAACCCAATGCAAGGAAGCTAAGAACCTTGAAAAAAGGTTAGACGAATTGCAAACTAGAATAACTAGAATAACCAGTTTAGAGAAGCACATAAATAACCTAATGGAGCTGAAAAACACAGCATGAGAACTTCGAGAAGCATACGCAAGTATCAATAGCCAAATAGATCAAGCCGAAGAAAGGATATCAGAGATTGAAGATCAACTCAATGAAATAAAGTGAGCAGACAAGATTAGAGAAAAAAGAGTGAAAAATGAACAAAGCCTCCAAGAAATACGCGACTATGTGAAAAGACCAAATGTACATTTGATTGGTGTACCTGAAAGTGTTGGGGAAAATGGAACCACATTGGAAAACACTCTTCAGGATATTATCCAGGAGAACTTCCCAACCTAGCAAGGGAGACTGACATTCAAATTCAGGAAATAAAGAGAACACCACAAAGACACTCCTTGAGAAGAGCAACTCCAAGACACATAATCGTCGGATTCACCAAGGTTGAAATGAAGGAAAAAATGTTAAGGGCAGATAGATAGAAAGGTGGGGTACCTGCAAAGGGAAGTCCATCTCTGCAGAAACCCTACAAGCCATAAGAAAGTAGGGGGTCAATATTCAACATTCTTTTTTTTTTTTTTATTGCATTTTAGGTTTTGGGGTACATGTGAAAAACATGCAAGATTGTTGCATAGGTACACACATGGCAGCGTGATTTGCTGCCTTCCTCCCCTTCACCTCAACATTCTTAAAAGAATTTTCAACCCAGAATTTCATATCCAGCCAAGCTAAACTTCGTAAGTGAAGGAGAAATAAAATCCTTTACAGACAAGCAAATGCTGAGAGATTTTGTCACCACCGGGCCTGCCTTACAAGAGCTCCTTAAGCAAGCACTAAACATGGTAAAGAACAACTGGTACCAGCCACTGCAAAAACATACCGAATTGTAAAGACCAACAGCGCTATAAAGAATCTGCATCAACTAATGGGCAAAATGACCAACTAGAATCATAGTGATAGGATCAAATTCATACAAAACAATATTAACCTTAGATGTAAATGGATGAAATGCCCCATTAAAAGACACAGACTGACAAATTGCATAAAGAGTCAAGATCCATTAGTGTGCTGTATTCAGAAGACCCATCTCACATGCAAAGACACACATAGGTTCAAAATAAAGTAATGGAGGAATATTTACCAAGCAAATGGAAAGGAAGAAAAAAAGCAGGGGTTGTAATCCTAGACTTGATAAAAGGCACTTTAAACTAACAAAGATCAAAAGAGACAAGGGCATTATATAATGGTAAAGGGAACAGTGAAACAAGAACTAACTATCCTAAATATATATGTACCCAATCCAGGAGCAATTCTGAAAGACCTACAAAGAGATGTAGACTCACACAATAATAGTCAGAGACTTTAACAAACCATTATCAATATTAGATCAACAAGACAGAAAATTAACAAGGATATCCAGGACTTGAACTCAGCTCTGGACCAAGTGGACTTAGCAGACATTTACAGAACTCTCCACCCCAAATCAACAGAATATACATTCTTCTCAGCACCACATTGCACTTATTCTAAAATTGACCACATAATTAGAAGTAATACACTCCTCAGCAAATGCAAAAGAATGGAAATCATATCAAACAGTCTCTCAGACTAAACTGAACAACCTGCTTCTGAATGACTACTGGATAAATAATGAAATGAAGGCAGAAATAAAGATGTTCTTTGAAACCAGTGAGAATGAAGACACAATGTACCAGAATCTCTGGGACACATTTAAAGCAGTGTGTAGAGGGAAATTTATAGCACTAAATGCCCACAAGAGAAAGCAGGAAAGATCTAAAATCAACACCCTAACATCACAATTAAAAGAACTAGAGAAGCAAGAGCAAACAAAATCAAAAGCTAGCAGAAGACAAGAAATAATTAAGAGCAGAGCAGAACTGAAGGAGACAGAGACACAAAAAAAAAACCTTCAAAAAAATCAATGAATCCAGGAGCTGGTTTTTTGAAAAGATCAACGAAATAGACCACTAGCCAGACTAATAAAGAAGAAAAGGGAGAAGAATGAAATAGACTCAATAAAAAATGATAAAGGGGATATCACCACTGATTCCACAGAAATACAAACTACCATCACAGAATACTATGAACATCTCTATGCGAATAAAGTAGGAGATCTAGAAGAAATAGATAAATTTTTGGTAACATACACCCTTTCAAGACTGAACTAGGAAAAAGTCGAATCCCTGAATAGACCAATAAGAAGTTCTGAAATTGAGGCAGGAATTAATAGCCTACTACCCAATAAAAACCCAGGACCAGACAGATTCACAGCTGAATTCTACTAGAGGTACAGAGAGGAGCTGGTAACATTCCTTCTGAAACTATTCCATGCAATAGAAATAGAGGGAATCCTCCCTAACTCATGTTATGAGGCAAGCATCATCCTGATACCAAAACCTGGCAGAGACACAACAAAAAAAGAAAGTTTCAAGCCAATAACCCTGATGAACATCAATGTGAAAATCCTCAGTAAAATACTGGCAAACCAAATCCAGCGGCACATCAAAAAGCTTATCCACCATGATCAATTCGACTTCATCCCTAGGATACAAGGCTGGTTCAACATAAACAAATCAATAAACCTAATCCATCACATAAACAGAACCATAGACAAAAATGACTACAACCTCCATCTACAGGTTCAAGTGATTCTCCTGCCTCAGCCTCCCGAGTGGTTGAGAGTACAATGCATGTGCTACCATGCCCAGCTAATTTTTGTATTTTTTTTGTAGAGATGGGGTTTCACCATGTTGGCCAGGCTGGTCTCAAACCCCTGGCCTCAAGTGATTTATCCACCTCGGCCTCCTGAAGTTCTGGGATTACAGGCATGAGCTTCTGTGTCTAGCCTCAATAAAGCCATTTTTAAGAACAGGCTTTATAGAATTTCCTAATGGATTTGCCTAACATTTATTTATTTTTCATTTTTTATTTTATTGAGATGGAGTCTCGTTCTGTCATCCAGGCTGGAGTGCAGTGTTGTGATCTTGGCTCATGCAAGTTACTCCGTTTCCTGGGTTCAAGCAATTCTTCTGCCTCAGCCTCTTGAGCAGCTGGGATTACAGGCATGTGCCACCATGCCTGGCTCATTTTTATATTTTAGTATAGACAGGGTTTCACTATGTTGGCTAGGCTGGTCTCGAATTCCTGACTTCAGGTGATTTGCCTGCCTCACCCTGCTGGTATTGCAGGGGTGGGTCACTGCATCTGGCTGCATCTGCCTACCATTTAAAATTGACAGATTAAAAAAAAAAAAAAAAGAAAAATTCAAACTGAGGAAGCTGTGAAAAGTAAATAAATAAATAAAAATTGACAGATACTGTTGTAATGAATCATTACAGTTTTCAGGCAGTAAAGAGTAGCAGAAATAATGAATTTTCTTTTAAGGTATAGCCGTCTTGAAGTATCCTGGTTTTCTATAACCCCCATGTAGATGATCATTTTCCTTATTCCTAGTCTTCCCTTCAGTCACTTATCTTCTCCAAACAGCACAGGATAGAAGCCTAGCACTTCCTGTCCAACAAAGTAGCCTTTCCCCCATTTCTGCTGTAAAAACTTAAAGTTTTTCGTTATTTCCATTTACAGTAAAGCACATGAGTATGGAGAAATAGATCCTCTATTTTTTTGCATTCATTATCAATTATGATGAGGGACTGTAATTGTATGTTCTCTTAGTATTTATTTTCTTTCTGATAATTAAAATCTTATTGCTTGATAATTTAGGCATTTGTATGTGTAAATTTTAGGTTCAGAATGATATTTTAAAATCCATACCACAGTTCAGAAAAGTGTATCTTTAATAGTGATTAAATTATTATAAGTACAAATAACCTAGTTTGCCTCTTCACAGGGTTTTCTATAGTGATAATGTCCATATGGCCATATCTCCAAAAGGTTTGTATATTTCGATCTATTTTTCCCTTAAGTAACTACAGTGTAGTAATTCTTATGTAGTTAAGCATTTTCTAAAGAGTCTCTTTGGTATTCTATGGTTTAGTCTTTACAGCAATAATGAGATAATAGTTCCTTGAAAGAGGCTTATAAGTAAGGTGACCATATGCTTTAGTGTGCAAGCCAGAACACTTTTGAAGAGAAGGCAATGCTGTAGGAGGAAAAATAGGATCATACCCAAGTAGTCCCAGGCAAATATAGACATATGGTCACCTACTCAGAAGCCACATTCACGTTCCATCATTACCTGTTCCCTAATAAAAGGGAAACTAATAATAGTCTGAATTCTCAAAGTGTATAAATAATATTTTTGTGGAATAATTTAATGCTTTTCTTATAAATTAATTTGGGCTATCAGATAACATTGTAAAGACTAAAATATATGTATTTTTTGATGCTGTTATTACCAGAAGGGGAACGGGGTGACATGAAGATGTAAATTTGTTAGGTAGCTTAACATCGATTGATCATCAAGTCCTGTCAATTACATCTTAAATCTCCAGGAAGGAACTTACTAAAAATCAGAATATAAGTTGGTTACATAATTCATCAACAACAATATGTTAGTAAAGCTCCTTAAAGCATTCCACTGTATTTCCTAACCTCGTACTCCTTATCCTAGTAATATCTAATTAACTTTGCTACTGTCCTGAAAGTGCTCTTGTAAAATTTCCAATGACTTATTTGTTGATCACACAATACTTTTCAGTCCCTACTTTAGTGACATCTGGATAGCATTTGATATTGTTGTCCTCTCCCTACTTCCTGAAACCACCTGTATTAGTCTGTATTCTGTTGCTTATAACAGAATACCCTAAACTAGGTAATTTGTTTTTAAAAAGGAATTTATTTCTTACAATTACGGAGACTGAGAAGTCCAAGGTTGAGAGACTACATCTGGTGAGGGCCTTCTTGCTGGTGGGGACTCTCTGAAGAGTCCCAAGGCAGTATAGGATATCACATGGTGAGGGGGCTGAGCATGCTAGCTCAGGTCTCTCCCTCCTCTTATAAAGTCACCAGTTCCACTCTATGATAACCCATTAATACATGAATGGATTAATTACCATATCTGGCTAATTTTTGTATTTTTAGTAGAGACGTTGTTTCACTATTTTGGCCAGGCTGATCTCGAACGTCTGACCTAGGTGATCCTGCCTCTGCCTCCAAAAGTGCTGGGATTACAGGTGTGAGTCACTGCGCCTGGCCTGGAAAGCCTTCTCTGACTGTCCCTTACCACAGTTTGGGTCAGAAGGTTTTCCTGTGTACTCCCATTTCCCTTTATCATTAGCCCTTAATGTGGAGTGTCCTAACACTGTATTTACGGAGAGTTTACTTAACTCCCCTGTTAGATTGTTAAGATTGTTTTGCTTTTATTAATTCCTTTTTTTTTTTTTTGGAAATGGAGTCTCGCTCAGTCACCCAGGCTTGAGTTCAGTGGTGTAATCTCAGCTCACGGCAGCCTCCACCTCCTGGGTTCAAGTGATTCTTCTTTCTCAGCCTCCCAAGTAGCTGGGATTACAGTTGTGTAGCACCATGCCCAGCTAATTTTTATATTTTTAGTAGAGACAGGATTTCACTATGTCGGCCAGGCTGGTCTCAAACTTGTGACCTTGGGTAACCTACCACCTCAGCCTCTCAAAGTGCTGGCATTAGAAGTGTGAACCACCATGCCCGGCCCAGTTTTTTTGAAAATATTTTTAAAGGTATATAAGAAGAAATGCAAATTTTATGTTTTACTGGTTTAGTGCCATATTTTCATTGTTATTTTGAAAATTATATTACATGAAATTATTACCCGTTACACTAAAAATTCTTTCCATACTGCTAGAGTCATTGGAATTGGGCACAGTTCTAGAGCAATGTCTTCTCTGCTAAAAAGATATTTTCATATATCAAATTATTGATTTCTTGGCATTTTGTTTTAAGTCAAAATTCTCAAAAGAAGGATATTAGTAGTGATTAGGTCTACTCAACTTACTATGTTGAATTTTGAAAAGTACTCTCCTCCAGATATTTTGAAAACTCTAAAGAGTTTTACCATCAGGCCTAGTGCTGTGACTCACATACCTGTAATCCCAGTGCTTTAGGAGGCCAGAGTGGGAGGACTGCTTGAGCCCAGGAATTCAAGACCAAGCTGAGTAATAATAGGAGCCCTTGTCTCTACAAAAAAATTAAAAAAGTTAGTTGGGTATGGTGGTGCTACTCTCTCTAGTCCCAGCTACTGGGGAGGCTGAAATAGGAGGATTGCTTGAGCAGAAGAGTTTGAGGTTACAGTGAGCCGAGATTATGCCTCTGTATTTCTGGCCTGGGTAACAGAACCAGACCCTGTCTCGAAAAAAAAAAAAAAAAAAAAAAAAAAAAGTTTTGCTTTCAAACCTGAAAACATTAAAACTGAGTTTTCATTGCTTTTTTGAAAATTAAATTTTTATATAACATGAAATTATTATTTTCTACTTTGAGACAACAAAAGGTAACACAGGGAGAAGATGAAAAACAGAGTACCTAAAATGAAAGATACTTTAAGGGCTAGAACTTTAAACATTATATATCATTATACTTTTGCCTATTATTTCTTATACCCCATAAAAAAAAATATACCTAAATATTTTCAATTTAAATATCTTTAGGGAATGGCCAGGTACGGTGGCTCACGCCAGTAATCCCAGCACTTTGCGAGGCTGAGGTGGGCGGCTCACCTGAGGTCAGGAGTTGGAGACCAGCCTGGCCAACATGGTGAAACCCCGTCTCTACTAAAAAAAATACAAAAATTAGCTGGGCATGGTGGTTCATGCCTGTAATCCCAGCTACTTGGGAGGCTGAGGCAGGAGAATTGCTTGAAACTGGGAGGTAGAGGTTGCAGTGACCTGAGATCTCACCATTACACTCCAGCTTGGGCAACAAGAGCAAAACTCTATCTCAAGAAAAATAAAGAAATAAAATGAAAAATAAGTAAATAAATAAATATCTCTAGGGAACAAAAGATCATAGTTTTCCTTATTAAGTTCTACCACTTATCTATAGTTGTTCAAATTTATTTCCTAAAATTTGATAAAAACCATTAAATAGGAAGATCAGAGATAGAATCTTCCTATGTTGCTTAGATTGGAGTGCAGTGGCTTTTCACAGGTACAATTGTAGTATATTACAGCTTCTAACTCCTGGGCTCAAGCGATCCTCCTGCTCTAGCCTCCCAAGTAGCTGAGATTATGGGCATGTGCTGCTATTCCTGGCTTAGCCTACCATATATGAAAAAAATAATCTGGCTGGGTGCAGTGGCTCGTACTAGAAATCTCAACATTTTGGGAGGCCAAGGTGGTAGGATTGCTTCCTCCCAAGGTAGGAGGATTGCTTTGGGAGTTGGAAGCACAAAGTTCAAACTCAGCCTGGGCAACATAGGGAGACCCTGTGTCGACAAAAATAAAAAAATTAGCTGGGCATGGTGGTGCATAACAGCTACTCAAGAGACTGAGGTAGGAGGATCACTTGGGCTTCATACTCATTACTATTTTTTCTTTCTTTTTGAGATGGAGTCTCACTCTGTAGCCCTGGCTGGAGTGCAGTGGCTCAATCTCGGCTCACTGCAACTTCCGCCTCCTGGGTTCAAGCCACTCTCCTGCCTCAGCCTCCTGAGTAGCTGGGGCTACTGTAGGTGTGTATGCCACAATGCCCAGCTAATTTTTTTTTGTATTTTTAGTAGAGATGGAGTTTCATCATATTAGCCAGAATGGTCTCGATCTCCTAACCTTGTGATCCACTTGCCTTGGCCTCCCAAAGTGCTGGATAACAGGCGTGAGCCACGACACCCGGCCCGTGATCACTTGGGCTTCATAGGTTGAGGCTGCACTGAGCCATGATCGCACCACTGCACTCCAGCTTGGGTGACAAAGCGAGACCCTCTATCAAAAAAAGAAATAAAAATAAACAATAGTGTCTTTTCTAAGCGAACATTTTCTTTTTTTCTGAAAGTATTTCATTTTCTGAGTTGTAGGCATTTGGTTCTCCCCTCACGTTCGTCATGATATGTAAACCCTTTTAAAGTAGTAAAATATTGAGTTGTCTATATCGAAATGAATAATTTATAACAGGTTTATTGAGATAATTGTCTATCAGCTTTTGTGTTTTTATTATCTTCTTCCTGCATTTGACTCTTTTGCCTAGTGTTTTTAGATTTGCAGTGCTGACTGTTTAACGTATAGGGTAGCATAAGTCTAAAGAATTCTATTTACAAGAATTAAAGAATAGCTTGTATTATTTTTCATGATATTATTGCTGTATGAGTATATAGTATGTATCTTTTTACCAAGGTTTATATGAACCAGAAATTTCCATAGTAATTCTTAAAAATGAGCTTCCCAAACATTTTCCCCTTTGTGCAGTCTGTTGTTAGGACATTTAATTCTATTGTCAGAAGTTTGAATCTCTTACTGTAAGTAATAGTGTTGTAAAACTTATTTGTTAGAATTGTTTTTTTTTTTTTAATAGGAAATTTTACATGGTAAGACAAATGTATTTAGGTTTTAAACTTTACATTTCTTGGATAACAATTCTTAAAGCACTGTACTTTTTTCTGCAGATTGATCAGACAGCTGATGCAAGTTTTTTGGGCTGGGTTATTGCTTCATATAGTCTTGGCCAAATGGTAGCGTCACCTATGTTTGGTTTCTGGTCTAATTATAGACCAAGAAAAGAGCCTCTTATTGTCTCCATCTTCATTTCCGTGGCAGCCAACTGCCTCTATGCATATGTCCACATCCCAGCCTCTCATAATAAATACTACATGCTGATTGCTCGTGGATTGGTGGGATTTGGAGCAGGTAAGTTTGTATGTATGTTTGGTTGTGTCAAATTCACATTCATTCAGACGTTTATGCTCACTTTCACCTGGTGTTATCCCCTTTTAGACTCATATTTTACAGTCAACATACATGTCATTGTAAACAAATATTTTTCCTATCATTCTACCTTTGCTCATGATGTTCTCATTACCTATAGTTTCTCTTCTGTACCTATCATTCTTCATCCTTCAAGATTCAGTTCAAGCCAGGCATGGTGGCACGTACCTATAATACCAGCTACTCAGTAGACTGAGGTGGCAGGATCTCTTGAGCCCCAGGAGTTTGAGGCCAGCCTGGGTAACACAGGGAGACCTCCATCTAAAAAAAAAAAAGCAACCCAAAACAAAATTAGATCCAATTCAAGCTTCACATTTTCCACAGAGCTCTCTTGGGCTACCCCTTAAGAGATTATTTTCTTCTCTGACATGTTCCTTATAGTATTGTACTGTTTTTATCATTTTTCACTAACCAGACAATAAACTTTTTTTTTATTTTGAGATGGAGTCTCACTCTGTCACCCAGGTTGGACTGCAGTGGCGCAATCTTGGCTCACTACAACCTCTACCTCCTGGTTCAAGCAATTCTGCCTCAACCTCCTGAGTAGCTGGGATTACAGGCACCTGCTATCACTCCCAGCTAATTTTTGTATTTTCAGTAGAGTCGGGGTTTCACCATCTTGACCAGGCTGGTCTTGAACTCCTGACCTCAAAATGATCTGCCCACCTCAGCCTCCGAAGGTGCTGGGATTACAGACATGAGCCATTATGCCTGGCTTGGTTTTCTTATAATGCCATTTTTTCACTCATTCATATCATTAACTGTTTTCATATTACCAAAACTACTATGCTCCATTAGTTTATGTATTTCCTTAATAAAAATACCTTACTTGCTTTGTATGATCATAAAAAGGGGCCCGGCGCGGTGGCTCAAGCCTGTAATCCCAGCACTTTGGGAGGCTGAGGCGGGTGGATCACGAGGTCAAGAGATCGAGACCATCCTGGTCAACATGGTGAAACCCCGTCTCTACTTAAAATACAAAAAGCATTAGCTGGGCATGGTGGCGCGTGCCTGTAATCCCAGCTACTCAGGAGGTTGAGGTAGGAGAATTGCCTGAACCCAGGAGGCGGAGGTTGCGGTGAGCCGAGATCGTGCCATTGCACTCCAGCCTGGGTAGCAAGAGTGAAACTCCGTCTCAAAAACAAAAAAGGTAAAAAGGAAGCAGTGACTATACTATTGACCAAGATTTGTTCTTCTGTATAAAGTTAAATTTAAATGAATTTTATAAACTGAATGATACTTTCTTTTACTTTGGATTATTGTGTCTTGCTTTTAAGGAAATGCAGCAGTTATTCGATCATATACTGCTGGTGCTACTTCCCTTCAGGAAAGAACAAATTCCATGGCAAATATAAGCACATGTCAAGCATTAGGTTTTATTCTAGGTCCAGGTAGGTGTTCTTCACTTATCATTACTTGAATTTGAATTGGAAAAACTTTTGAGGCACAAATATTCTATGTAACCCAAGTATAAAACCTTATAGCTGAAGGGAAAGGGAGGAAAGCTAACTTCTTTTTTTAAATCCAGCACTGAGGCTAGACTCATTTTATCTTGATGCCAATCCCCTAAATTAAGTGCTATTAGTCCCCTTTTATAGTTGAGAGTGCCAGTGCATAGAGAATCTAAGTAAATTGTCCAAGGTCACCCTTTTGCTGAGTATTGAAAAAATTAATGAGGCCGGGTACGGTGGTTTACGCCTGTAATCCCAGCACTTGGGGAAGCCGAGGCAGGTGGATCACCTAAGGTCAGGAGTTTGAGATCAGCCTGGTCAACATGGTGAAACCCCATCTGTACTTAAAATACAAAAGTTAGCCTGGCTTGGTGGCGGGCGCCTGTAATCCCAGCTACTCAGGAGGCTGAGGCAGAAGAATTGCTTGAACCCAGAGGTGGAGGTTGCAGTGAGTTGAGATCGCGTCATTACACTCTAGCCTGGGTGACAAAAGCGAGGCTCGATCTCAAAAAAATTAATGAGATTTAATATTTCCTCAAGGCAAATTAATTTTCTGCTGAGTAGAGAGTCATTTTCATGCCTAGAATAATATTGAAAAACTATATAATTGGTCCATATTTTGAATATTGCAGTTATGAATATCATCAGTTTGAATCCAACTCAGCTTACTTCATCGTTAACACCTATTCTCCCACCCCCAGTCTCTATTACATTCCTCTATTTAGCCAAAAAGAAAAGGCTCAACAGAAGAGACTCTTAATTCTTCACCAAAATCTAGTATTTCGGTTTAGTACCCTGGGACAAATATAAGCACAAATTTAGAATAATTGAACTTGAAAAGCATATTGTAAAGTACATGAGAGCATGGTTTGTATCTTTCTTACTTGCCAGTCTACCCTCAGTATCTAGCATAATATTTGGTATAGACATATGTTCTTAGCAAATATTTTTTACCACCTTAAAAGCATTTTAAAGATTGTGTCATTTAAAAATTTTGCATTATAGATGAATAAATGTAAGCCTGAAGAGCTTAGATGACTTTTCCAATAATAAACACTCAAAAAGCACTAATGTTTATTGTGTGCTAGGCACTGTTCTAAGTATGGTAGGTGCAGTATCCTAGTCCTCACCATAGAGTTATATGCGAATTACTATAGAGCATATAGAATCTAAATCAGGAGAGCAAAGCAGTGCTGTTCCAATCCAGTTTTTGCCACAGATCCAAATTAGATTTGCTACTTCATATTTCTTTAGAGTGCTTTATTCACCAGTCCGAAAACATTTCTAACTAATGTTTAAAGTCGCTAAAGAAACTTCAAATACCAAGTTAGATTATATTTGCTTTTGGATGAAATGGTGTTTTTTTTTTTTTTCTTTTTTTTTCATTTTACATGTATATGATGCTATGGTCAAATGATATTAAATATATATAATTTAGGTACCATATACACAATAATATTTGTTTATTTATTTTTGAGATGGAGTCTTGCTCTGTCGTCCAGGCTGGAGTGCAGTGGCAAGATTTCGGCTCACTGTAACCTCAGCTCTCGGGTTCAAGCAATTCTCCTGCCTCAGCCTTCCAAGTAGCTGGAATTACAGCCACCTGCCATCATGCCCAGCTAATTTTTATATTGTTGGTAGAGACGGGGTTTCACCATGTTGGCCAGGCTGGTCTTAAACTCCCGACCTGGTGATCCCCCTACATCAGCCTCCCAAAGTGCTGGGATTACAGGCATGAGCCACCGTGCCTGGTCCCTACATTATAATACTTAAAATATCTAATCTAAATTATGATATTTTCATTCTTATGATGAAGTTGATTAAACCTTTATAATTAATTCTTGGAAGAAATTTTATAATTTAAATTGCCTATGGAGATGTAAAAAACTGACAAGTTACTTAAGATATAATTCCCTGTGAATGCATGTACATCAGTATTTCATAACCTTTTTTTCATTATTGTTTCCCTAAGGAGCCTTTTTATATATTTTTTTCCTACTCTCTTTATCCCATAACATTTTAGTGCCACAGATGTATCATATATATATTTGTACCTACCTGCTTTATACATCAAAGGAGGAAATTTTTTGACCCCTCCATCAAGAACCAATTTTCTTGCACCTGTTGAGAATGCGTGCTATAGAAGGATGATTCCATAACATTGTTCCCAATTCTATGTTCAGTGTCTTTTTTATTTTTTTATCCTATTCCTCTCATATAATAATTCATCTGTGAAAATTTTATCTTAATAAGTTTTTCAGACTTGTTTTGCATTCATTGGAGAAAAGGGTGTGACATGGGATGTGATTAAACTGCAGATAAACATGTATACAACACCAGCTTTACTTGGAGCCTTCCTGGGAATTCTAAATATTATTCTGATCTTTGCTATACTAAGGTAATTAGATGGAAATGATAAAATTATTTTTGTAGATTGTGAAATTTAATGAGCTTGTAATTACTGCAAGATAATTGTCCTTATGAAGTATATTTTTGGTTTTTCGTGTCTATAGTTTGTTTATATTTTTTGGTCATGTAGCACTAAAACATGTAATACTGGCAATCAAAAGACAACCTGATAAATGAAAACAGAAAAGGAAGGTCTTTGAACATTCAGGTTTTTTTTTTTTTTTTGAGACAAGATCTCACTCTGTCGCTCAGACTGGAAGGCAGTGGCACTATCTCAGCTCACTGCAACCTCCATCTTCTGGGTTCAAGGATTCTCATGCCTCAGCTTCCCGAGTAGTTGGGACTACAGGTGTGTGCCACCAGGTCCAGCTAATTTTTGTACTTTTAGTAGAGATAGGGTTTCACTGTGTTGGCCAGGCTTGTCTTGAACTCCTGTCCTCAGAGTAATCTGCCCACCTTGGCCTCCCGACGTGTTAGGATTAGAGGCATGAGCCATGTGAGGCTGCACATGGCGCCTCAAGGTTTGGTCTTGATTTACTAACTACATGTTTCTAAGTGGGGGAAAAGCATGAAAGTAACATTTTAAATAAATTAATGGTTTGTATCAGTCTTAAATATAAAAGTTACTAGTAATATATATCTTATTATATATTTGAAAAAATTTTTTAGAATTACATTTTGTTTATTTTTTTAGAGTGCTTTATTCAGTAGTCTAAAAACATTTATTACTAGTATTTATAATCACTGCAAAACTTCAAATACTAAAGTAGATCATGAATGCTTTAGGATGAGTTGGATTTTTTTCATTTTACCTGTCTATGATAATATGATAAGAATTGTAACTTCTGTCTTAAGTTTATTGTTTATATCTCATTGGTAACAATTTTATTACTACAAAGCCAATAAAAGAAACTATATTAGAATGTGAAAAAACTATAATGACAGTAATAAATTTAAATAACTTCTCTGTTAAGCATTTTTTAGTTACAATATTTGTGTGTGTTTTTTTTTAAGAGAACATCGTGTGGATGACTCAGGAAGACAGTGTAAAAATATTAATTTTGATGAAGGTACTTTTAACCCATTTGACTGAATTAATATAACATTATCAAAGTGTTTCTAATGATTCTGTTTGTTTGGTATTTACTTGGATTTTGCTTCTGAGGACAAAACAGTGGGTGATTGGGGAAGATCTTGAAAGCTGAAAGTGACCTAAATGGATGTTTTTTTTAAGAGGCATTCCCATACCAGTTATTTGGTGTTCATGGTTGACAAGGTTACAAACATTGGAAAAAAATCACTTTGTCTTATTTTCAGAGAGCCAGTATCCTAAAACCTTTGAGATATTTGCAATGATTTCTGTATCTTTACTACCAAAGAAATAAGTCTTTCTATTTAAAGCAGTTCTTTATTCTCTTAAGCATGAGAACAGGTATGGTTTTGCCTTTTTATTTTTATTGCTTGTTATACTTTACAAATATACATTTTCATCCTTTAGATCTTCTCTGATTTATTTAAGTCAGAGAACCTGCTAAGTAGTTATATTTTACCAAATAAACTGTTATTTAGGTACTAATTATATCCTCCTTGGGGAAAGAATACAAGAACTGATGCTTGCCCTCAATAGTTAATAAAGTTGTGGAAAAGTCACAGCATTTTTACCGGGTACTTTCACAGCTCTTTTATTTAATTTTCACAAAAGAAATAGTGGAAGATAAAGTTAAATGTAGTAGGATGGAGAGCAGCATGGTTGAGGAGCTATACTAAGTTTTTGAACGAGGAGAAGTTTGACGTTGATTCCATATAGAGGCTAATCCAGATTGATTATATCTTACTGGTAATGTCTCATTGGTAACAATTTCATTACTGAACAGCTAGCCAAAGAAGCTATATCAGAATGTAAAAAATATATAATGCCAGGCTGGGCGCGGTGGCTGAAGCCTGTAATCCCAGCACTGTGGGAGGCCGAGGCGGGTGGATCACGAGGTCAAGAGATTGAGACCATCCTGGTCAACATGGTGAAACCCCGTCTCTACTTAAAATACAAAAAAAAAAATTAGCTGGGCATGGTGGTGTGTGCCTGTAATCCCAGCTACTCAGGAGGCTGAGGCAGGAGAATTGCCTGAACCCAGGAGGCGAAGGTTGCGGTGAGCCGAGATCGCGCCATTGCACTCCAGCCTGGGTAACAAGAGCGAAACTCTTTCTCAAAAAAAAAAAAAAAAAAAAAAAAATATATATATATATATATATATATAATGCCAGTAATAAATTTAAATAATTTCTCTATTAAACTTTTCATAGGTAAAATATTTGTGTTTTTCTTTTTAAAAGAACATTGTGTAGATGACTCAGGAAGACAGTATAAAAGTATTAATTTTGACTAGGCCTGAAGTAGGGCAGTGACTGAGAATGGAGAAGGAATAAGTAGGAGTTGTTGAAGGAGGAATCAAGATAGATATTTAGATAGAAAATATTAAGGATTAGAGGCAGCCGACATTTCTGCCAAGTTTTGATTCTAGATCACCTGGAAGAATGAGAGCGAACAAGAATTCAGGAAGGGAGGTTGTATGCAAAGAGAAGAAAATTTCAGTTTGGATCAAGCTAAATATGTTGTTACTCTAGAACAACTAAAAAATCTCAGAGGCATTTGTAATTTTGACTGTAGGAATAAAAGCTAGAGATAAAATTGTGAGTCATCCAGTGAAAAACACTGTGGCAGCAAAGAGGGAGTGAGAGAAAGGATGGGGTAATGATTCAAGTGTGGCAAAAGATTGTTTAATCTGAAGGATGAATATGTGAGAATATGTTTGAAAACTTTCAAAATAAAAAATAAAAAGAATGAGAGGTGAAGTGCCAGCAGGTGGATATACACTACTTTTTTCAAAGGTAAAAAAATAGGATGCTAACTTCAAGGAGCTATCAGGAAAAAGGACGGAGGAAGTTAAGAGAGTGAGGCAGAGGTATGGCAAAGATAAGATATGTAAAAATCAGTATTTCAGAAGTTGGAAGGGGATAATGATATAGATCAGTGCTTCATTGACTTTAATGTGCTTAGAAACTACCTGGGAACCTTGTTAAGATGCAAATTCTGATTCAGTAGGCTTAGGGTGAGACCTAATAGGGTTGCCTTTAAAACACAGGATGTTGCTTCTCAAAATAGGGGAGTCAATAAAGAAATGTAAAAAATATATATATATAATAAAAAATAAAACACAGAATGTCCAATTAAATTGGAATAATGCTTTAATATAAATATGTCCCACCTAGTTAAATTTGTATTTTAATAAACAACAAATAACTTTTTTTTTTTTTTAATGGAGACGGGATCTTACCATGTTGCCCAGGTTGGTCTTAAACTCCTGTACTCGAGGGATCTGCCTGCCTCAGCCTCCCAAAATGCTGAGGCATGAGCCACTGCACCCAACAACTAAGATCTTTGGAGAAGATCTTCAAAGTATAAATACAATCCGGCTGGGCATAGTGGCTCATGCCTATAATCCAAGTATTTTGGGAGGCTGAGGCAGGTGGATCACCTGAGGTCAGGAGTTCGAGACCAAGCTGGCCAACATGGTGAAACTCTGTCTCTATTAAAAATATAAATATTAGTAGAGCATATTCTGAAGCAAACTCCAGTCTGCCTTGGGGCAATGTTGATATTGATTTGAAGGTGTAAAGACTGACTTCTAGGTGGTCATTCAGAATCAGAGAGGTCTATCCAAAATAATATAAGAGCCACAAGCATCAGGACCTACCCCTGGAAAAGGATCTGGACAAAGGTGACCAGTTCTCTTTGTGTGATTGTAAAGGAAGGTCATAAGGCTATGTTGAGTGTCCAGGGTGCTTAATTCCCTTTAAGTATAACAGGCTATTTCCAAATCTACTTATTGTTGGAGGAGGAACTCCTCAAGAATTCTGAGATAGAAAGGCAGGCATTATTATGAAAAAAAATCATAGAAACTTACTGCATCTTAGGAAAGCACCCCCCCAACTGATAGTACACACAATTTAAGATAACGTAAGTGAACATATTTTTGTAATATTTTATATATTAATACTTGGCTTATTTTGGTATTTATTTGTGTAAAAAACGGATTTTCTGAACAAGTAGATAAATTACAAAACAGTGTGGTGAATATGTATGAGTAGATATATATGTCTGCATACTTCTCGGTTACATCAAGAATAGCTTAACATGTATTAAGCTTAACGACATTTTTCAAGATGAGAAGTCAGTACACTTACTTTGTCCACCTTATTTATAAAACCACCATCAAATCGTGACTATTTTTTTGCAGAAATATGATAAGGGTTTTTTAAATGGTAATGATAACGTAAGGATCTTTACAAATACTAATTTCTTGTTCTTTATTTATTTATTTTTTGAGACAGAGTCTCTCTCTGTCATCCAGGATATAGTGCAGTGGCGCAGTCTTGGCTCACTGCCACCATAGCCTCCTGGGTTCAAGCAGCTCTGGTGCCTCAGCCTCTCAAGTGGCTGAGATTACAGCTGTGTGCCACCACGCCTGGCTAATGTTTTTTGTATTTTTAGTAGAGATGGGGCTTTGCCATGTTGGCCAGGCTGATCTTGAACTCCTGACTTCAGGTGATCCACCTGCATTGGCCCCCCAGAGTGCTTGGATTACAGGCGTGAGCCACCATGCCTGGCCATGAATACTAATTTCATGTAGCCTTGAAATTCAAAATATATATATATATATATATTGAAGTAAATCATGGAACTGGGAACCGATTTAATAAACTACTGGAGTTCTTCATGAAATTCTTATAAGTCTAAGATTTAAGTAAGGTGGAAAAAAATCTGCAATTGAAATTTAAAGCACATATATTTAGTATGAGATCACTATATTACAGAGTTCTATAAATTTCATTCCTGTTTTTGGATTGAGATATACCAAGTAGAAAATATACCTGAGTATTTCTTAAGATAACAGGATTGAAGTCTATCTCCTGGGAAGAAAATTCACTTTGTTTTTAAATGCCATTTAAAAATTGTTTCTGTCATATAAATTATCTTATTGTTGGCCATGCACAGTGGCTCACACCTGTAATCCCAACACTTGGGGAGGCCAAGGCAGGCAGTTTGGTTGAGCTTAGGAGTTCAAGCCCAGCCTGGGTAGCATGGTGCAACCTCATCTCTCAAAAAATACAAAAAAATTAGTTGGACGTGGTGATGCATGCCTGTAGTCCTAGCTTCTTGGGAGGCTGAGGTAGGAGGATCACCTGAGTCTGGAGAGGCCAAGGCTGCAGTGAGCTGTGATCATGCCACTGTGCTCTAGTCTGGGTGACAGAGTGAGACCCTGTCTCAAAAAATAATAATAAATAAATTATCTTATTGTTAAACTGCTTTGAAGCCTAAACATTTTTAAAAATATTTATAAAATTTGCTACAATGTAATTTCTACATTATTTTAGTGTCATAAGAAAAATTATAGGTAATGTAATTTTTCTCTGATTTACCTACAGCAAGTACAGATGAAGTTCAGGCTCCCCAAGGAAATATTGACCAAGTTGCTGTTGTGGCCATCAATGTTCTGTTTTTTGTGGTTCTATTTATCTTTGCCCTTTTTGAAACGTAAGTTTTATTCCATCTTCATCTAAATCAGTTTATGTATTAAACCTTTACTTCTTAATGCAGTGTTAATTAGGCATATAGATGTAATTAAAATCTTATATAAGGCATATTTTTCTTACCATGATGTAAAAAGTGTATATATGTTTTGTGGCTTTTAACGTAAATGTAGTTAATTCTTTGTCCATAACCTCACTACCTTATCTTACTTTTTTATAAAAGAATCTGTTTCACTAATCTTTCTTCTTTCATCTAAGTTTTATGATAAATTATGAAACTTTAATACCATGATTCAATTATCCTTAAGTTCTATAGTTTCATATATATATATATATATATATATATATATATATATATGGTTCAGTCTGGCAATTTTAACTCAATTTAATTCCTGATCTTGAAAAAAACCTAGCATAATACAAAATCTCTGCCTTATGTAGGCTTTATTCACCTTTATCATATGAATCTTTTATTTTTAAAATAACTTTCTATGAAATTATAAAAATAGTACATTGAAATCCCAAGTATTACAACTGTATTTCTATATCTACTCCTTTCTGTGAAAGTGACCCCTGCTAATACTTTAGTTTGTATTTTTAAACTTATGTAGATTATGTGATATTATCATTTGACAACTTGGTTTATTTTCTTATTAATACATTGTGTCATTTTTATGTTAGTACTTGTAGGTTTGCTTGGTGTTTTTATTTTCTTTTATTTTTTGAGACAGTGATGTTTCGCTCTTGTTGCCCAGGCTGGACTGGAGTGCAATGGTGCAATCTTGGCTCACTGCAACCTCTGCCTTCCAGGTTCGGGGAATTCTCCTGCCTCAGCCTCCTGAGTAGCTGGGACTACAGGCACATGTCGCAATGCCTGGCTAATTTTTTGTAGTTTTAGTAGAGATGAGGTTTCACCGTGTTAGCCAGGATGATCTCAGTCTCCTGACCTCATGATCTGCCTGCCTGGACCTCCCGAAGTGCTGGGATTACAGGCGTGAGTCACCGCACCTGGCCTCTTCTTTTCTTTTTTTTTTTCTTCTTTTTTTCTTTTTTTTGAGATGGAGTCTTGCTCTGTCACCCAGATTAGAGTGCTGTAGTGCAACCTCACCTCACTGCAACCTCTGCCTCCCAGGTTCAAGCGATTCTCCTGCCTCAGCCTCCCTCTCGAGTAGCTGGGATTATAGGTGCCCACCACTGTGCCTGGCTAATTTTTGTATTTTTAGTAGAGACAGGGTTTCACCATCTTGGCCAGGCTGGTCTTGAACCCCTGATGTGATCCACCTGCCTTGGCCTCCCAAAGTGCTGGGATTACAGGTGTGAGCCACCGTGCCTGGCCTTTATTTTCAAAATTATTGAGATGCATGAAAATTCCAGCTCATCTGATTTTTAGGGGGCAGTTTTTTATTGTGGGAAAATATACATAACATAAAATTTACCGTGTTAACTTTTTTTGCATTGTTTCGAGACAGGGTCTCACTCTTGTCTCCCAGGCTGGAGTGCAGTGGTGAGATCACAGCTCACTGCAGCCTTGACATCCTGGGCTCAGGTGATCTTCCAGCCTCAGCCTCCCAAGTAGCTGGGACTACAGGCATGCACCACCATGCTTGGCTAATTCATTTGTATTTTTTGTAGAGACAGGATTTCCCCATATTGCCCAGGCTGATCTTGAATTTCTGGGCTCAAGTGACCCACTTACCTTGGCCTCCCAAAATGCTGGGATCACAGACGTGAGCCACTGCGTCCCAGCACTGTCATCCTATTTTTAAGGCATCCAATTCAATAGCATAACGTGCATTCACAATGTTGTGAAACCAGGACCACTATTTCCAGAATGTTTTCATCATCCTAAACAGGAGCTCCATAGCCATTAAACAATAACATACCAATTAAACAATATTAAATAAATTTCATTTATTTAATTTATTAAATAATTAATTAATATTTATTAATTAATAAATATTTATTTATTAATTACAGGCGTGTAGTGGCTCACGCCTGTAATTGCTTCACTTTGGGAGGCCAAGGCAGGTGGATTGCTTGAGGTCAGGAGTTTGAGACCAGCCTGGCCAATAGGGCGAAACCCTGTCTCTACTAAAAATACAAAAATTAGCTGGGTGTGGTGGTGGGTGCCTGTAGTCTCAGCTACTCAAGAGGCTGAGGCAGGAGAATTGCTTGAACCGGGAAGATGGAGGTTGCAGCGAGCTGAGATCACGCCACTGCACTCCAGCCCAGGTGACAGAGTGAGACTCTTGTTATCTCAAAAATAATAATAAAATACAATAAATATAAATTGCCTTTTGTAGTCAGTTAATAGAGATCAAATGTAGGGAGAGAAACTTGGCAAGGAAGGACATAGTCATGTAAAGGAAGAGACATTCAGAGGTAAAGAAAAATATATACATTCAAAAATCCAGTATATTCTAATAATATAACATTATTGCATTGAAAGAGAGTAATTTAGTTAAAAATATGACCATGATTATTTAGAAATGTTAGAATGGTAGGCATTATGATTGGTTTGGTTTTTTCCTTTTCCTTTTTTTCCAGACTCTGTAATGTGGCTATATTAATTATATAATAAAATAAACATTAGAAAGTAAAATATGAGTAGGCAGACTTAATGACTTAGGTATGTAACAACAACATGCTTAAAATGTGTTCAAACTTTTGCTTAAGTCTGTTGTCATTGCTAAAACGCATGAAATTCTTAAATGTGTAGCTGTCATTATTAAAACTTTTACTTCACTGTAACAGTTACTATGATTTAAATAAAATAAGAATAATTTTTGTTTTTGTTTTTCTTAGCATCATTACTCCATTAACAATGGATATGTATGCCTGGACTCAAGAACAAGCTGTCTTATATGATGGCATAATACTTGCTGCTCTTGGAGTTGAGGCAGTTGTTATTCTCTTAGGAGTTAAATTACTTTCCAGAAAGTAAGTTTAGTGGTTTTGTTTTTGTTTTATGTCTGTTTTTAAAAAATAAAACAAAAAACAGAGCTAATAATGCAAATGGATGTACTGGGAAAGTAATTGAAAGCTTTTTTTGCACACAAATTTAAAATTGATTAAGAGATTATAATATTTCTGTACAGCATTTCTTTGGCAAAACAAAATTTCTTACGAAGTATATAATTGACTCTTAATTTATCTTTTGTATATTATGTTTTCCTGAAAGTGTATTTCACAAACCATTGTTCTACTGTATTGTAATATACATTGTGCAACAAAAAAGATTCAGTGGTTAAGTTTGGAAAATGTAGATGCCAAACTTATTTATTCTAGAACTTCTATCCACAGTGTATATGTTTTATATCATCATCATGGCAAATAAAATCTGTGACATTTCCCAGACCACACACACTTTTTTTTTAGACAAGATTTCTCTTTGTTGCCCAGGCTGAAATGCAGTGGTGCAATCATGGCTCAGTGTAGCCTTGACCTACTGGGCTCAAGTGATCCTCTCATCTCAGCCTCCTGAATAGCTGGAACTACAGGCAGGCACCACCATACCTGGCTAATTTCTTTTATTTTTTGTAAAGGCAATATCTCACTATGTTGCCCAGGCTAGTCTCGAATTCCTGGGCTCAAGCAATCCTCCTGCCTCAGTCTCCCAAAGTACTGGGATTACAGGCATAAGCCACTGTGCCCAGCGTAAGAGTGTTTTTTAATCGATATATGGTAGATATACATATGTTTGGGGTATATGTGATAATTTGATACGTTCATATAAAGATCAAATCAAGATAACTGGAATACCATCACTTTAAATATTTACCTTTATGCTAGGAACATTTGAATTACTCTTTTCTAGCTTTTGACATGTACACTAGATTATTGCTAACTGTAGGCACTCTACTGATCTATTAAAAACTAGGTCTTATTTCTTCTAACTATATATTTGTACCCATTAATCAACCTTTCATTATTGCTTTTCTCCCCACTATTATTCCTGGCCTCTGGTAACTACCAATCTATTCTCTCTTTTCTTTCTTTTCTTCTTTTTTTCCTTTTTGTAAAAGGTGGTGTCTCACTCTGTTGCCCAGGATGGAGTGGAGTGGTGTGATCATATCTCATGGCAGCCTCGAACTCCTGGGCTCAAGCGATTCTCGTGTCTCATCCTCCTGAGTAGCTAGGACTACAGGCATGTGCCATAATGCCTGGCTAATTTTTTTTTTAAACTTTTTGTAGAGACAAGGTCTTCCTATGTTGCCTGGGCTCACCAGTCTACTCTCTATCTGCATATTCACTTTTCTGTCTTTTTTTTTTTTTGTGAGATGGAATTGTGTTCTTGTTGCCCAGGGTGGAGTGCAATGGCGCGATATCAGCTCACCACAACCTCTGCCTCCAGGGCTCAACCCATTCTCCTGCCTCAGTTTCCTGAGTAGCTGGGATTACAGGTGTGCACCACCACACAAAGCTAATTTTTATATTTTTAGTAGAGAGAGCGTTTCACCACGTTGGCCAGGATGGCCTCTATCTCCTGACCTCGTAATCCACCTGCCTCAGCCTCCTAAAATGCTGGGATTACAGGCGTGAGCCACCATACCTGGCCTTTATTAAAGTTCTAGGAGACATGTACATAACGTGTAGGCTTGTTACATAGGTATACATGTGCCATGGTGCTTTGCTGCACCCGTCAACCCATTGTCTACATTAGGTATTTCTCCTAATGCTGTCCCTCCCCTAGCCCCCCGCCCCCTGACAGGCCCCATTGTGTGATGTTCCCCTCCCTGTGTCCATGTGTTCTTATTGTTCAACTCCCACTGATGAGTGAGAACATGCAGTGTTTGGTTTTCTGTTCCTGTGTTAGTTTGCTAAAAATGATGGTTTCCAGCTTCATCCATGTCCCTGCAAAGGACATGAACTAATCCTTTTTTATGACTGCATTGTATTCCATGGTGTTTATGTGCCAAATTTTCTTTATCCAGTCTATCATTGATGGGCGTTTGGGTTGGTTCCAAGTCTTTGCTATTGTGAATAGTACTGCAATAAACATATGTGTACATGTGTCTTTATAGTAGAATGATTTATAATCCTTTGGGTATATACTCAGTAATGGGATTGCTTGGTCAAATGGTATTTCTGGTTGTAGATCCTTGAGGAATTGCCACTCTGTCTTCTGCAATGGTGGAACTAATTTACACTCCTACCAACAATGTAAAAGCGTTCTTATTTCTCCACATCCTCTCCAGCATCTGTTGTTTCCTGATTTTTTAATGGTTGCCATTCTAATTGGCATGAGATGGTATCTCATTGTGGTTTTGATTTCCATTTCTCTAATGACCAGGGATGATGAGCTTTTTTTCATATGTTTGTTGGCTGCAAAATGTCTTCTTTTGAGAAGTGTCTGTTCATATCCTTTGCCCACTTTTTGATGGGTTGTTTTTTTCTTGTAAATTTGTTTAAGTTCCTTGTAGATTCTGGATATTAGCCCTTTGTCAGATGGATAGATTGCAAAAATTTTCTCGCATTCTGTAAGTTGCCTGTTCACTCTGATGATAGTTTCTTTTGCTGTGCAGAAGTTCTTTAGTTTAGATTCCATTTGTCTATTTTGGCTTTTGTTGCCTTTGCTTTTGGTGTTTTTGTCATGAAGTCTTAGCCCATGCCTATGTCCTGAATGGTATTGCCTAGGTTTTCTTCTAGGGCTTTTGTGGTTTTAGGTCTTAGGTTTGTCTTTAATCCACCTTGAGTTAATTTTGTATAAGGTGTAAGGAAGGGGTCCAGTTTCAGTTTTATGCATATGGCTAGCCAGTTTTCCTAACAGCATTTATTAAATAGGGAATCCTTTTCCCCATTGCTTGTTTTTGTCAGGTTTGTGAAAGATCAGATGGTTATAGATGTGTGGTGTTATTTCTGAGGTCTCTGTTCTGTTACATTGGTCTATGTATCTGTTTTGGTACCAGTACCATGCTGTTTTTGTTACTGTAGTCTTATAGTATGGTTTGAAGTCAGGTAGCGTGATGCCTCCAGCTTTGTTTTTTGGCTTAGGATTGACTTGGTTATATGGACTCTGGCTCTTTTTTTGGTTTCATATGACATTTAAATTAGTTTTTTCTAATTCTGTGAAGAAGGTCAGTGGTAGCTTGATGGGAATAGCATTGAATCTTTAAATTACTTTGCGCAGTAGGGCCATTTTCATGATACTGATTCTTCCTATTCATGAACATGGAATGTTTTTTCATTTGTTTGTGTCCTCTCTTATTTCCTTGATCAGTGGTTTGTAGTTCTCCTTGAAGAGGTCCTTCATGTTCCTCGCAAGTTGTATTCCTGGGTATTTTATTCTCTTTGTAGCAATTGTGAATGGGTGTTCACTCATGATTTGGTGCTCTATTATTGGTGTATAGGAATGCTTGTGACTTTTACACATTGATTTTGTATCCTGAGACTTTGCTGAAGTTTCTTATTAGCTTAAGGAGATTTTGGGCACCACTGATCCCACAGAAATACAAACTACCATCAGAGAATACTATAAACACCTCTATGTAAATAAACTAGAAAATCTAGAAGAAATGGATACATTCCTGGGCATATACACCCTCCCAAGACTAAAGTAGGAAGAAGTTGAATTCCTGAATAGACCAATAACAAGTTCTGAAATTGAGGCAGGAATTAATAGCCTACCAACCAAAAAAAGTCCTGGACCAGACGAATCCACATCTGAATTCTACTAGAGGTACAAAGAGGAGCTGGTACCATTTTTTTCTGAAACTGTTCCAAACAATAGAAAAAGAGGGAATCCTTCTTACCTCATTTTATGAGGCCATCATCATCCTAATACCAAAACCTGGCAGAGACACAACTGAAAAAGAAAATTTCAGGCCAATATCCCTGATGAACATTGAAGTGAAAATCCTTAGTAAAATACTGGCAAACTGAATCCAGTAACACATTATAAAGGTTATCCACCACGATAAAGTTGGCTTCATCACTGAGATGCAAGGCTGGTTCAACATATGCAAATCAATAAACGTAATCCATCACATAAACAGAACCAATGAAAAAAACCACATGATTATCTCAATAGATGCAGGAAAGGCCCTTGATAAAATTTAACACCCAATCATGCTAAAAACTCTTTTTTTTTTCTTTTTGCCAACCTTGCAGGATAAAGTCTTTGAATGCTTCATGCTAAAAACTCTTAATAAACTAGGTATTGATGGAATATATCTCAAAATAATAAGAGCTGTTTATGACAGACCCACAGCCAATATCATACTGAATGGGCAAAAGCTGGAAGCATTCCCTTTGAATTCCAGCACAAGGCAAGAACACCATCTCTTACCACTCCTATTCAACACAGTATTGGAAGTTCTGGCCAGGGCACTCAGGCAATAGAAACAAAGAGTATCCAAATAGGAAGAGAGGAAGTCAAAATGTCTCTGTTTGCAGATGACATGATTGCTATATTTCTAAAAAATTAATTCTTGGATCTAGAAGCTTGATGAAATTTGGGTTCAATTTTTTGGCAAGAATACTTTATAGGTGGAGATATGTGCTTATATCAGAAGAAATATAATATTTATCTTTAATATGTAAGTAGCCATTGACTGTCTCCTAGATACGTTCATTTATTAATAGATCATTGCAAAATTCTGGTATTTTAATTCTATGGTTCCTTTATTTGCTAGAATACTTTTCATAGAGACTGTTTTGCTCACCAACTATTTAGTTAACCTGAGCTACATTTGTATAGGAAAGGCAAGATAAAGCCTTGATTATTTCCTTTTAGTAACTGGTTTTTAAAACTAATGAGTTGTTTCCCTAACATCCTCCAAAAGTGACCAAAGAGTACTTTATTTTAATATACTATGAATTCACAGATTTTAACAACTTTTTTTTTTAGAGACAGGGTCTTGCTCCGTCACCCAGTCTGGAGTGCATTGGTGCCATTACAGCTCACTGCAGCCTTGACCTCCTGGCTCAAGTAATCCCCTTGCCTGTTACCTTCTGAGTAGCTGGGACTACAGGCACTTGTTACCACTCCTGGCTAATTTTTTTTATGTTTTGTAGAGATGGGGTCTTGCTATGTTGCCCAGGCTGTTCTTGAACTCCTGGCATCAAGCGGTCCTCCCCCTTTGGCCTCCCAAAGTGCTGAGATTATAGCCATGAACCACTGTACCAGGCCACAGATGATAATACTTTCATGTGTTTCAATCCACTGCCATTATTACTCTGTTTTGGTATTCATATAGTCACATTTTGGCCAGCTTCTTCAAATTGGCTGAGCCAAAAACACTCATGACCTGGTAGTCACGGGTAACATCTGTGCTTTTTGCTGTGAAAGATCTTAGGCTCATCTTCTTCTTTTTTTTTTTTCCCCCCATTTATTTTATTGCATTTTAGGTTTTGGGGTACATGTGAAGAACCTGCAAAATTGTTGCGTAGGTACACACGTGGCAGTGTGATTTGCTGCCTTCCTCCCCATCACCTACATCTGGCATTTCTCCCCTTGCTATCTCTCCCCAGCTCCCCACCTGTACCAGACCTAAGTCAGCCGTTTTTCAGAGGAGTCCTGGTTATTTGTAGTGGAAATTTATATTTAGCATTCTTTTTAATGGATATATCACTAAAAGTACAAGATATTATTTTCAGTTTTTAAAGTTATGAAAGTAATGAAGCTATGTTATAATGTTTTATTTTTAAATTACAGAGTTTCTGTTCTTTAACAGGATTGGCGAGCGTGCTATTCTACTGGGAGGACTCATCGTTGTATGGGTTGGCTTCTTTATCTTGTTACCTTGGGGAAATCAGTTTCCCAAAATACAGTGGGAAGGTATAGCTATACATAATTTTATAGTGTTAGCCTCTGTTATTTATCAAAAATCAACAAGTAATGCACTGCACTGATTTTCTTTTTTCAGATTTGCATAATAATTCAATCCCTAATACCACATTTGGGGAAATTATTATTGGTCTTTGGAAGTCTTCAATGGAAGATCACAATGAAAGACCAACTGGTTGCTCGATTGAACAAGCCTGGTGCCTCTACACCCCAGTGATCCATCTGGCCCAGTTCCTCACATCAGTTGTGCTAATTGGAATAGGCTACCCAGTCTGCAATCTTATGTCCTATACATTATATTCAAAAATTTTAGGACCAAAACCTCAGGTAAGCCAGGTACCCTAAAGTTGCAATTATAGAAAATATACTTGTAGGGTCGGGCGTGGTGGCTCAAGCCTGTAATCCCAGCACTTTGGGAGGCCGAGGCGGGTGGATCACGAAGTCAAGAGATCGAGACCATCCTGGTCAACATGGTGAAACCCCGTCTCTACTAAAAATACAAAATATCAGCTGGGCATGGCGGTGCGTGCCTGTAATCTCAGCTACTCAGGAGGCTGAGGCAGGAGAATTGCCTGAACCCAGGAGGCGGAGGTTGCGGTGAGCCGAGATCGCGCCATTGCACTCCAGCCTGGGTAACAAGAGCGAAACTCCGTCCCCAAAAAAAAAAAGAAAATATACTTGTAAACACTCACATTTTTTGCTGCCATTCTTTATTTTTACATAGACTGATTTGGAGGATTTTTATCATATTCAGCATTTTAAATTTTTTTTTTTTTTTTTTTTTTGAGATGGTGTCTCGCTCTGTCACCCAGGCTGGAGTGTAGTGGCGCGATCTTGGCTTACTGCAACCTCTGCCTCCCGGATTCTTGCAGTTCTCCTGCTGCAGCCTCCCGAGTAGCTGGGACTACAGACGCACGCTGCCACACCCGGCTAATTTTCTGTATTTCAGTAGAGACGGGGTTTTTTTACCATGTTGCCCAGGCTGGTCTCAAACTCCTGAGCTCAGGCAGTCCACCTGCCTTGGCCTCTCAAAGTGCTGGAATTATAGGCGTGAGCCACTGCGCCCGACCAGCATTTAAAATTTTTAAAAATCCCATAACTTCTATAAGGTGTTTATAAGATTTATATGCTGAAATTTACAAACAGTACCCTAAGTTACAACTCAAAGATGTTTTGAACTCAGAGATTAGGGAGCTCAAAATCATTTTCATGGGGAAAAAAATCTGAGGTGTAAATTTTTTTTTCTTTTTCCTTTTTTTTTTCAAGGTGTAAATTTCCGAAACTCATTCTTAAACTAGGCAAGAGTTAGGCAACCAAAATTGATAACCGGATTTGGACCTAGGCTTACTTTCATCTAGCCCCAGGCAACTACTAAGAGATAAAAACACAATAGTCTTAAAAGTTTACAGCAGCTTATGCATATTTTATAATTTTAAAATAAGATTTTCCATATTTTTATAAACAATTAGAAAAAATGTAGAAGGAAAATGAAAAATTATCAATGAGAAAATTACTACTAACATTTTGGCAAAATTACATTTCCACTTTCAGTCTTTTATTTATGCTTATGTGAATGTGTATGTGTATGTAACACAAAAATAGGACTTTAAAAATAGTTTCGGCCGGGCACGTGGCCCACGCCTATAATCCCAGCACTTTGGGAGGCCGAGGCGGGTGGATCACGAGGTCAGGAGATCTAGACCATCCTGGTCAACAATGGTGAAATCCTGTCTCTACTAAAAATACAAAAATTGTTGGGCATGGTGGCACGCGCCTGTAATCCCAGCTACTTGGGAGTCTGAGGAAGGAGAATCGCTTGAACCCAGGAGGCAGAGGCTGCGATGAGCCGAGATTGTGCCATTGCACTCCAGCCTGGGTAACATGAGTGAAACTCCGTCTCAAAAAAAAAAAAAAAAAAAAAAAAAAAAAAAATAGTATCATGGATACTATTTTGTAATCTGCTTTTTAAAAAAAATGCATTGCAAATATTCTCCCATACCATTTAATTTTCTCTTAGAGAATTATTATTGTTATTATTATTTTTTTGAGGTGGAGTCTCCCCCTGTTGCCTAGGCTGCAATGCAGTGGCACGATTACTGCTGACTGTAACCTTTGCCTCCTGGGTTCAAACAAAACGATTCTCCTGCCTTAGCTTCTGGAGTAGCTGGGATTACAGGCGCCTACCACCAAGCCTGGCTGATTTTTGTATTTTTAGTAGAGATGGGGATTCACCATGTTGGCCAGGTGGTCTCAAACTCCTGACCTCATGATCCACCTGCCTTGGCCTCCCAAATTGCTGGGATTACAAGTGTGAGCCACCATGCCCAGCCCAGATAATTATTTTTACTGGAAACATTATATTCCATTTTATATATGTACCATCATTTATTCACAATCATTTTCCTATTATTATACATTTAGATTATTTTTAGGTTTTGCTTCCAACTCTTTTTTTTTTTTTTTTCCCATTTTTTTGAGACAGAGTCTCACTCTGTTGCCCAGGCCAGAGTGCAGTGGTGTGATCTTGGCTCACTGCAGTCTCTGTTTTCTGGGCTCAAACAATTCTTGTACCTCAGCCTTCCAAGTAGCTGGGACCACAGGTGTGCACCAGTGGGCCTGGCTAATGTTTTTATCTTTGTATAGATGGAGTTTCACCATGTTGGGCAGGCTGGTCTTGAACTCCAGAGCTCAAGTGATCTTCCCATCTTGGCCTCCCAGAGTGCTGGGATTACAAGTGTGAGCCACCATGCCTGGCCACTTCTAACTCCTTTTAATAACAGACATTTAAATGGCCACAAAATAAAAATATTATCTTCCTCTTTAAAAATTAAATAGATTTACATTTTCAGAGCAGAAATTAGTGTTTCTCTATTGAAATAAGGCAAAGAAGGAGAAAAAATTAATACCTATGTTTTCAAGTTATAAGGAATAGACAAAACATTTTGGTAATAATTTCTGGGTTTGTTTTTAAGAGTCTTTTAATTTTCCAAAATTAAGAATAAAAGCTTATTAATTACAAAAGCAATATATAATAGTTGTAACAAAATTCAATTAATTTAGAAATATATTTAACAATGAAGGCTCTCCTTAGCTTTACCTCAGCAAAGTCAACTACTGTTAATTTGTATGCCTCAAGACGTTTTTCTATGCCTATCCAAACATATCCACATTTATCCCTTTAAAAAAAAAAGAAAAAACAGACTATATTGCATGGATTTATACTTGCTTCTGCATCTTGATAGGTATTTTTTTTTAACTTGGTTAATATGTTACAGCTTTCTTTCCATGTCAGTGTATAGATGTTTTCATAAGATTTTATTGTCTATATATAAGACTTTATTTTTTTAAATCGCTGCTTATTAGCACCATAAGACAGGGCAAGGAAAAATTAATAGAAAAAAGTAGCTGCTTAGCATTCCAGTTATTAAGTTTACCATAGTTTATTCACTTAATCTACTACTAACATCTAGGTTGTTTTCAATTTGAGGCTATTAAAAGCAATGCTGCCTTGAACATTCTTGGGTAGTTTGTGTGGGCTATTATTTTGGATACAGAAGTTGTAGGAGTGGCGTTGTGGTAGAGTGTAAAGTGGCATAGTGGAGTCAACCAAATGTGGCTTCAAACCTCTTGAACAAGTTATTTAAACTTTCTGAGTTTTAGCTTCTACCTTTGTTAAACAGGGATAACACCTGTCATTGAAACTTGTGAACATTACAAACGATGTATGTAGAACACCTACTTCATTGACTAACATGTAACAGGTACAAAATAAATGTTAGCTTTAAAAGGTGTTTTAATCAATTTTATTATTCCCAGGGCTTTGGCAGACATTAAGTTTTTCCTTTTACACTCCTTTTATTTTTCTTAATCTGACTTAATATCAACTGTTATATTTATAGAAGGCATTTTATGTTTAATTTAAAAGTAAAAGATGGAGAAATGATTCTTGTAAGCTTGCTGTAGTTTGGTAGTAGCATTTCTTTGTTTTTAAATAAGTAAAACTGAATATCAATCTGCTTGTCCTCCATTTTACCCCCCACAGGGTGTGTACATGGGCTGGTTAACAGCATCTGGAAGTGGAGCCAGGATTCTTGGCCCTGTGTTCATCAGCCAAGTGTACGCTCACTGGGGACCACGATGGGCATTCTGCCTGGTATGTGGAATAGTGATGCTCACCATCACACTCCTGGGAGTGGTTTACAAAAGACTCATTGCTTTTTCTGTAAGGTATGGGAGGGTTCAGGAGTAAACTAGCCGAGACTGTGATGGAAAGTACTTGTTGTATGGCACTTCCTGGTCTAAAGCTCTGCTAGGCAGTTGTGATGAGCCAGTCTCCAAGAACAAGAACATATGTTGACTAATAGAATTCTACATGTAATTATGAATAGTAGGTTATATAAAAACATATTGGATCATAATTTCCTTATCTCAGAAATGAAACATTCGTCTTATAATACTTTTTTGAGGTTGCATGAACTAATGAGTGGATAGACAATGATATATAAATGTGAAGTTGTATTCTTAATACAAACTGCAGAAGTGTCACTAAAATAATATATAGTGGAACCAAAAGAGGGTTCTGTAAGAATTAGCCATAGCAGAATAGAATTCCAGAATTTTAAGAACCCAGGTAGAGGCATTTTTATTCAAAGACATCTACTTTTTATTATTAAGAAATGCATTTTCTATTATAAAGTTGCCTTATGAGATAAAAATCATAACACTTATATTTTCCATTTAGCATGCCTAACATCCTACCTTGCTTTCTGTGAGTCTTTCTCCTAATACTGCACCTCTGCCTTATTTTAGTTTAGGGTTTCACTAAGTAACTTCTACATTAATACATGAGCATGAGTTATGCTAATATTTGAGCAGTACAGAGGATTAAGAGATCAAGATATTTCACTGCCTATTAGTTACCCTAATAGGGCTACCTACCTTTTTCTTTCAAATGCCAGTAATTTACTTTAGAAACATAATCCAGATAACGTGTGTGTGTGTGTGTGTGTGTGTGTGTGTGTGTGTGTGTGTGTGTATAGACACAAAATAGTAAATGGTTTCTTAAAATTATTGCTATTTTTCAACCCCCTTAAACTGGAGAAAAACATTCACTTTAATTAGATTATTTTCCCATCTCTTAGTAGTGGTGGGGAGGAACACAACAGTTTTCAATCTATGTCTGCATAGCTGTTTAGAGCTGCAGAATTTTAGTTGGATTTTTAATTTGAATGATCCCTGACAGCTCCAATCTAGTCAGGTTAATAAGTATTTGAGGCAAAATGGCTTTAATCTAACAGTTTACTGAGTTTACCTGAAGTTGGCTAAATAACACTGTATGTTTATACTTCTACCTCTACATAAGTTGAATGCTGATAAAAAGAACTAGTAGAGAACTATGTATATGGATAATAAGTGTTATAGAAAATGCAAAAATATTTCTAAATACTTTTCCAAATGTTTTCTACTTTAAGTTAGAAATATTTTCAAACCTGAGAATAAACACTATAATCTGCACTTCATAGGCTGGGTGCAGTCTCACACGTGTAATCCCAGCACTTTGGAAGGCCAAGGCAAGAGAATTGCTTGAGGCCAGGAGTTCAAGACCAGCCTGGAAAACAAAGTGAGACCCTGTCTCTCCAAAAAATAAAATAAAAACAAAAATTAAAAAATATGTAATCTGCACTTTATACTAAACTTGCTGTGCTCTTACAGTCAGTTTTTTTTCAGCTCTAGGAAAGGTGTTAATTTGATAGAATCATTCTATGATTAAATTTTGAAGACTGTTTTCACTCTCCTCTTCTGCCCATAGCAAGACTGCATCCGTGGATTTATCAGAACTGCAGCCAGGTTTCTGGCTATTTGGTCAAATCTGGCATCCCTCTTACCTGTTATTCTGCAGCTGCTTTCTGTGTCTTACATTTTTTGGGTCACTTCTAATCTTAAAGAGTAAACTCCACCCTTGGTTTGCATAGTGTGCATGACAGAAATAACCAGCAATAATAGTAATGATGAAAATGATGGGGCAAACATTTGTGGAGTGCTTTCCATATTCCAGGTAATGTGTAACATATAATTTAATTCTTACAGCAGTCTTACTGAGTGAAGATACTATTATGATTCCCATTTTACAGATGAAAGAATGGAGGCACAAAGAAGTTACTTGTCTAAGTAACAGTCTATCCTTAAAGTCCACAGTCTTAACCACTGTATTTTTCATAGTGAGGAAAATAAAAATAGCCCAGAAAGTTGCAGTTTCAATTAATTACTAATTGTAGGGTAACTTACCTATACCAGTGACTCCTATTAGCAGAAATATTTGAGAAACATAAGCCCACTGACTGGAGCTTTTGTCTTAGCATAGTAGCCTGTTTCCAGCAAGAAAATAACATAGAAAAGTTTCCCAGCTTCCAGAGATTTATAATATTTATTAAAATTCAGATAAACTATAACCTTGCATAAATTACTGTTATTTTCCTTTTTATTGAGAGCATTTTCTTTAGCGCATTTTCTTCTTTAGAGTATTATACCTTGCTCATCTTGGCACAAAAGAAGACAAAAGGAAGTAACATGGGATTGAGAAAAGAGCAAGGAGGCAAAGTTTGAGGAAAAAAATCACTCTGTTGATGTCTTTTTGAGTAGGACGAGTTGAGTGTAAGTAGAAAGTGATGACAGGAGATTTTAAGGTATGATATATTGTTAAGAGTAGTACATATTTAAGAAGAGAAAATATGTTTTTGAAAACCTAAATTTAAACTTGAAAAGAAAGGATGATTTTCATATTTTGAAAGGATTTATAACTTCTCAAAGCATCTCCATTCTATCTTGTTCAGCTTTACATTTAAAAATAAACTCCTGTGGTTCATATAAAATTTACCTCTTACATAAAGTGAAATCTGTAATTGTTTGTTTTAACAAGGATAAACTACTTATCTGCGTCTGTTCAATAATAGATTAACTTATTTTGAGAAGAAATTCTGGACACCGTTTTTGACTACTGAAGACTTATTTGTAATTTAATATCTACTTTACATTGTGAATGTTCATTTTCTAATAAACAAGATTATTTTGCATATATACCTTAAGTTTTTACACTTTATTCAGTTGTGCTTTCAATACATATTTAACAGGGTACCCACTATGTGCCAATTACCATGTATTTTGGGGGATTGTGCAGTAAACAAAACACGTAGAGCTCCTACCTTCATGAGGCTTACCTACCATCTCTACTAAAAATACAAACATTAGCTGGGTGTGATGACAGGTGCCTGTAATCCTAGCTACTCAGGAGGCTGAGGCAGGAGAATCCTATCACCATTGTAACATCACAGAGCAGCACCTTACCTGTTTTTGGTAATGCTTGTGTAAACAAACTTACTGTACTGCCAGTTGTATAAAAGTATGGAACATACAGTTATGTAACATATTATTGGATAATAAATGACTATGTTCCTGGTTTATGTATTTACTATACTATGTACCATTATTTTATTTTGTTTTTTTGAGATGGAGTATTGCTGTATCACACAGGCTAAAGTGCAGTGGCACGATCTTGGCTTACTGCAGCCTCCAGGCGATTATACTAAAAAGAAAACCTCCAGGTTCAGGCAATTATACTAAAAAGAATAAGCCAGGTGCGGTGGCTCACACCTGTAATCCCAGCACTTTGGGAGGCCAAAGCAGGCGGATCACCTGAGGTCGGGAGTTCAAGACCAGCCTGACCAACACGGAGAAAACCTGTCTCTACTGAAAATACAAAATTAGACGGGTGTGGTGGCGCATGCCTGTAATCCTAGCTACTTGGGAGGCTGAGGCAGGAGAATTACTTGAACCTCGGAGATGGAGGTTGCCGTGAGCCAAGGTGAGCCATTGCATCCATCCTGGTGCAATGAGGATATGTTATGCAACAAGAGTGAAACTCTGTCTCAAAAAAAAAAAAAAAGTAGAAAAAATAATTTTTTTAAAAACAGAAAAAAGCTTTTAGAATGTCATGTTTTTATACAGCTGTATGATGTGTTTTAAGCTGTTATGAAATGCCAGAACGTTTAAGAAAAGTGAAGGCTTATAAAGTTACAGTAAGCTAAGGTTAACTTATTATTGAAAGAAATATTTTTTTGTCTGGGTGTGGTGGCTCACGCCTATTAGCCAGTACTTTGGGTGGCCGAGGCAGGTGTATCACCTGAGTTTGGGAGTTCAACACCAACCTGGCCAACACATTGAAATCCCATCTCTATTAAAAAAGTAGCCGGGTATTGTGACACACACTTGTAGTTCCAGCTACTCAGGAGGCTGAGGCAGGAGAATCACATGAGCCTGGGAGGCAGAGGTTGCAATGAGCCGAGATTGCACCACTGCACTCCAGCCTGGGTGACAGCATGACTCCATCTCAATAAAAAATATATATACATTATTTGCAAATTTAGTATAGCCTAAATGTATTGTCACATTTACTCACCACTCACTCACTGACTCACTCAGTACAAATTCTAGTCCTGCAAGCTTCATTCATGGTAACTGCCCTATTCACATGGACCATTTTTTGTCTTTCATGCCACATTTTTTACTGTACCTTTTCTTTGTTTAGATACATAAATACCACTATGTTACAATTGTCCACAATCTTCAGCAAGGTAACATGCTGTACAGATTTGTAGCCTAGGAGCAATAGGCAATACATATAGCCTAGGTGTGTAGTAGGCTATAGCAACTAGGCTTGTGTAAATATACTCTTTGATGTTCACCCAACAATGAACTCACTTAAAGATGTATTTCTTAGAACATATCCCATCGTATTACAGCCAAGCAATACAAGACTGTAATACAATTTCAGGAAGGAAATGAGCAGATAGCGAAATAAATTTGATAAGTTGATAATTTTCTAAGCTGAGTGATTAGTGCACAGAGATTTTACTATTTCATCTACTTCTGTATATATTTGACACTTCCTTAAAAATTAATTTGAAAAATATTTTGTAACAAACTTAGGTCTTGGAAGAAATATGAATTGAAATCACAGAATTTCTTGAAAAAATAATCTGAAAAGTTACCATATCAGAATGGATGCAACCAAAACAGGTTTCAGAGGAAAATGAGTAACATGAAATATCTATATCAATAAAAATGATGAAAATAAATCAATTATGTACTCAGCACAAAAAGCTAAAGAAAGATATTTACAATACTCAAAAGGTAGAAGCAACTCAAGAATCCATCAGTGGATGAATGGATAAACACAAATGGTACAATATGTAAATACAGTGGAATATCATTCAGACCAAAAAAGGAATGAAATATTGATACATGAAACAACATGGATGAACCTTGAAGACATTATGCTAAGTGAAATAAGCCATACACAAAAGTATAAACATTGTATGATTCCACTTATACCAGCTACCCAGAATAACCAAATTCATAGATACGGAAAGTAGAATAGAGGTTACCAAGGGCTAGACAGAGGCGTGAGTGGGAAGTTATTTAATGGGCACAGAATTTGGGGTGATGAAAAGTTCTGGAAATGGATAGTGGTTATGAGGCAGTATAGGTGTAGTCAAGGAAATGACCGTATCCGTGGGACGTGGCAACTGTGGCCACCATATAATTGACACAATAAGCCTCAGCATTTGCATTGCAGTTACCCTCATTCAAGAAAGCGATCTTCAGCAGGGAATTTGATTTTACCTGTCCTAAAACTGGCCCTTTGCTTGTTATGATAGTGAAAAACATATCCCTGGGTGGAGATTTAAGATGCTAATAAGACATGAAACATATGAACAAGCATGTACAGCTACTGTACATATGCAGCCAGGATGCCACTCAGAATATGCTTCCTAATAACACTTCTTCCCAGCTCCTTAGCAATAATCAACACTGTCTCATCCTTATGAGTAGCCCCTCCAAATTCTCTTTCTTTCAGGGTGTACTGTCTACTCTGCACTTAACTTTCAAAATATTCTTTTTCCTTTCTAATAAATTGCCCTATGCTGCATCTTCTTTGCTGTGTGTCTCTTGTTTAAATTCTTTTAAACTAAGAAGACAAGACCCCAAACTGTACAACATGGTGAAACTCTATTAAAAATACAAAATGTAGCCAGGCATGGTGGCATGTGCCTATAGTCCCAGCTACTTAAGAGGCTGTGGTGGGAGGATCACTTAAGCCCTGAAAGCCAAGGCTGTGGTGAGCTGTGATTGTGCCCCACTACACTCCAGCTTGGGCAACAGAGCAGACCCTGTCTCAAAAAAAAAAAAAAAAAAAAAGATGAAGACAAGAACCAAGGTATTATAACAGCTGTCAACAGTTATGGTTGCAGAACAGTGTGAATGCACTTAATGCACAGAATTGTACACTTTAAAATGGTTAAAATGGCAAAATTGTATGTATATTTTACCACAAAAAATTAATTTAAAAAACATCCATGAGTTTACAAATATACCAAAAACACGTAACATTATTAGTCACCTTCTGAAGCTGTTAGAGCACCAATTCTTTATAAAGGAAAGAATGGACAGGATGCAGTGGCTCATACCTATAATCCCAGCACTTTGGGAGCCCGAGACAGGAGGATCACTTGAGGCTAGGAATTCAAAATCAGCCGAGGCAACATCGTAAGACCCCATCTCTACAAAAAAAAAAAAAAAAAAAAAAAGGGCGAATGTGGTGGTACACACGTGTAGTCTTAGCTACTCAGGTGGCTAAGACAGAAGTATCATTAGAGCCTGAGTTCAAGGCCACAGTGAGCAATGATCATTCCACTATCCTCCTGCCTGGGCAACAGAGCAAGACCTTGTCTTGAAAAGAATGAAGCATTTCATTTGGGCTGTCTTCTTTGTATCATCTTTATTTCAGGTTAACCAAATAACTGATGATAGAAAATTCAGAAGGAATGATAAAAGTAGAATATCACTATTTGGAATCCCTAATGAAATCATGGATCTAAAATGATCATCATTAAGAATGAAAGCCTCATAGGGAGCATTATGATGCATGGACGAGGCCGATAGCAATTTTTTTTTTTTTTTTTTTTTTTTTTTTTAAGTGATAGTGTCTCCCTCTGTTGCTCAGGCTGGAGTACAGTGATGCAGTCATGGCTTACTGCAGCCTCAAACTCCCGGGCTCAAGTGATCCTTCCATCTCAGCCTGCTCAGTATCTGGGACTACCAGCACTGCCACCATGCCTGGCTATTAAATTTTTTTTTTTTTTTTTTGTAGAGATGAGGTTTTGTGCTGTTGCCTAGGCTGGTCTTGAATTCCTGGGCTCAAGCATCTTCCCGCCTCAGCCTCCCAAATTGTTGGAATTACAGGCGTGAGCCACCTTGCCCAGCCCAAGCGGATAGTGCTTAAATTAATCTTAATATAAAGAGGCTAGTTATTATACTAAAAACAAAACCAGCTCAGAACTATTCTTGTCTCACTTGTCCCCATTTCTCCAAAATGAAACTAAATCTAACGAAGTTTCTAGATCTTTTGGAAAATTGAGAAGACAGATGAATATGTTAAATGACACCATGGGAATGCAATCAGTTAAATCGATAATAGAATGTGAAAAATGCTATAGCCCAAACACCTCAGTTTCTTCAACAAATTAATTTCAGAAAAAACTGGTGGCAATGGGGGTATATGTTAAAAGATTAAGAGGCTTATTAATCAAATGCAGCATGTAGATCTTGTTTAAATTTTGATTCAAGCAAACAATTTTTTTTTTTTGGTAAAAGAAATTGAACATTGGTTGAATGATAGCATTATGTAATGAAAACTTTTTAGGTATAATGATATTGTGGCTATTTCTTTTTTTTTTTTTGAGATGGAGTCTTGCTGAGCTGCTGGGACTATAGGTGCATGCCACCACATCAGGCTACTTTTTTTGTATTTTAGTAGAGATGGGGTTTCACCATGGCCAGGGTGATCTTGATCTGCTGACCTCGTGATCTGCCCACCTCAGCCTCCCAAAGTGCTGGGATTACAGGCGTGAGCCACTGCCCCCAGCTATTGTGGCTATTTCTAAAGGGTTATTTATGGATGAGATGATATGATGATGCCTAGGATTTGCTTCAAAATAATCTAGCTGGGAGAGAATAAAAAGAGGAACAAGTGATACAAGATTCGCTGCATGCTAAAATGTTGAAGGTGGGTGATGGTTACATAGGGGCTCATCATCCTAGTCCATTTATATTTGTATGAAACTTTCCATAAGTGAAAGATTTAAAAAGCTGATTGGGTGGGGCTGGTTCACTTTACATTTTCCTGTAGTATGATTCTGGTTTGTTGGGGAACCCAAACTCATTAACCTTAGGTCTTTCTTCCTGGACTGGACAGACTGTTAAGTCTCCCAGGACAAAGTGTGGCTGAGTACATTCTGGGAGCTAAGTAGGAGGAGGGTAGGGAGTAGAGGTGGGGTGTCTTTGCATTCAACATTCACTATGTACAGTCACTTAATCCCTCCGTTTTTATATTTATTTACGTTTGAGATGTCATCTTGCTCTGTCTCACCCAGGTTGGAGGGCAGTGGTGCAATTTCGGCCCATTGCAGCCTCTGCCTCCTGGGTTCAAGCGATTCTCCTGTCTCAGCCTTCTGAGTAGCTGGGACTACAAGCATGCACCACTACACCCGGCTAATTCTGTATTTTTAGTAGAGATGGGGTTTCAGCATGTTGGCCAGGATGGTCTCAAATTGCTGACCTCAGGTGATCCACCCGCCTCGGCCTCCCAACCTCCACTTTTAGTTGAGGGTTTTAGAGCAACCCTCAACTGTTACTCCCCAGTTCATAAATAATTCCAGATGGGAGACTTAGTAAGGTTATTATTATATACATGTATACATATATATGTATATATACACTAAGAAAAAGCCAGGCAACACAACAGGAAATAGGAAACACCCAAATATATATGTTTTATATATATCAAACTTTCCACATTATACGCTTATGAAAGTAAAACAAACCATATGTTTTGGAAGGCAATCTAGAAGAGTATCTTTGCAACTTTGTAAGTAAAGAAACAAATGGAACAGAAACAAAACACTAGCCATAAAGGAAGATTGCATAATTGGACTATATTAAAGTTAAGAAATCCTGTTTATCAAAAGATACTATTAGGAGAGTGAAAGGACAAGCCTATACACACATAGAGACAATTTACAGAGTTCTTAAGAGAAATGCCTGGTGTGTAATCATCATTCAATGCCTTTTGGCTGCTATTATTCCTTTTATTGTTGTTGTTACTGGAAAACAAGAACAGGTCCTACATTTATGGAACAATTATGCTGAAGTAGTGACCTTCCCTGATACACAGAGCAGTATGTTTACGCTCTTAGCAATGTTTAAGAATTTGGTTGGGCACGGTGGCTCACGTCTGTAATCACAGCACTTTGGGAGGCCAAGGTGGGCGGATCACCTAAGGTCAGGGGTTTGAGACCAGCCTGACCAACATGGGGAAACTCTCTACAAAAAATACAAAATTAGCCGGGCATGGTAGCACATGCTTGTAATCCCAGCTACTTGGGAGGCTGAGACAGGAGAATCACCTGAACCCAGGAGGCAGAGGTTGCAGTGAGCCGAGATTGTGCTATTACCCTCCAGTCTGGGCAACAAAGAACTGATAAATATTTTCATAAGTGTTCGAGGCTTTATCTGTAAAGAATGTGTCACTTGGTACCTTGTGTGCATTTCATCTCACCTGTTTAGCTTTTATGTTTTCTAAATTTGGTTTAATGTTGTACTGATTGATAAAATCATTCAGAAATGTCATCTTTGTCCCAAATGTGAATTTTCCTGTACCGTGCTCACTAGAAAAACAGACAATAACTGTTTTCATTCCCATGTCATGTTTAGGTTTATGTAAATTATCCTCTGGGATATTTTATTACCTTCCTTTGAAAGATCTCAAAGATGGATATTGTCCCAAATGGAAACTTTACAAAACAATGTCTTCCATAAGGAATATAAAAGTTGTCAGCTTGGCATTTCCTTCCTCCAGTGAAATCTGCCAAAATCCATTGGCACCATCCAGCCTGTGGAGAATGTGGTGCCTCTTGCCAATTTAATTAAGGAGGATGTCTTCTAGTATTGGTAACATGTTTTCCTTACATACGTGTTAATAAAGTATTTCAGAAATATACATACATACATATATATATATACACCTACACTTTTTTTTAAAAGGACAAGCATAGAATGGGAGAAGATATTTGCAACATGTATCAATAAACAAGGATACATACTGAGAACTCTTGAAAACCACTAAGAAAAAGCCAGACAACACAACAGGGAAAAATAGGCAAAAGACATTAATAGGCAAATCACAAGACAAATATCTAATAAAGATTTAACATTTCAACCTCTTTAATAATGAGGAGAATTCAAATTAAAACCACATTGATAACACTGTTCTCAAACACCTGGCCTCAAGCAACCTTCCTGCCTCCTAAAGCACTATAATTAGAGTCAACATACGTAGCCTTACACTATTCTGTCAAACTGGCAATAATTTTAAGGACTCTAACACCAAGTTTTGGTGTGGATGTGGAGCAAAATATACTTTCCATATGCTGCAGGTGAAAGCGTAAAAATATTAGGCATTATCTACTAAAGTTTGACATACACAAATCATAAGATTAGTAAATTCATTTGAGTAAAATCCTAGAGAAACTTGTATGCATGTGCACCAGAACATGTTCATAAAGTATATTTTTACAGCTAAAATCTGGAAACTCCAATGTCCATCAATAATATAACAGAAAAACAAACTGCAGTACATTCCTATGCTGGAAAACTACAAAGGAACCAGTCCAGGTAGAAAAAAGAAATCGGAGAGACATGTGTCCAAAAGGGGGAACAAATAGGACAAAAAGCACAGATAGATTACCTGATATATTGGAGCAAACAAAATAATTCCAGAAAAAAAAATTGTTCAAGAAATATAATTCTAGTATAGTACATAGTTCAGCTGTAAATATTTTCATAGTCACAATAATATAAACATTGAATATTAAGCTACCACCATACCCCAGAGAAAACCAGTACAGAGAAAAATAGGGATTAAAGGAAACTCAACTTGAAAGAAGTAACAGGAGAAAAAGAAAACCAAAGCAAAAATATGGTACATGGAAAGCACAAAATAAACTGCTACACATAAATCCAAATAGAACTGTAATGAAAAAGTTAAGACAGCCAGAAACAACTATATATGTAAAAATTAGAAGTTATTAAATCATATTAAAAATAAAATTTAGCTATACATTCGTTATGTATAAGAAAAATACGTAAAAAATAAAGACTCATTCATAGAGACAAAGAGATAATAAGAGGTATACTGGTTAAGTTCTGCCAAAGCAGAAATGTGTTTTAAGTCATTGGCCTTTAAAATTTAGCTCATACTGGTGTGCGGTGGCTCACGCCTGTAGACTCAACACTTTGGGAGACCAAGGCAGGTGGATCACTTGAGGTCAGGAGGTTGGGACCAGCCTGGCCAACAAGGTGAAACCACATCTCTACTAAAAATACAAAAATTAGCTAGGCATGGTGGCATGTGTCTATAAGCCCAGCTACCTGGGAAGCTGAGGCAGGAGAATCACTTGAATCTGGGAGGCAAACGTTGCAGCGAGCCAAGATCGTGCCACTGCACTCCAGCCTGGGTGTGACAGAGTGAGACTCCATTACCAAAAAAATAATTAAATAAAGTAAAATTTAGCTCAGGATTACTTTATTTCCATTTTTTTTAATTTATTTTTGAGACGGAGTCTTGCTCTGTTGCCCAGGCTGGAGTGCAGTGGCGTGATCTCGGTTCACTGCACCCTCTGTCTCCCAGGTTCAAGCAATTCTCCTGCCTCAGCCTCCCGAGGAGCTGGGATTACAGGTGTGTGCCACCATGGCCAGCTAATTTTTATGTTTAGTGGAGATGAGGCTTCACCATGTTGGCCAGCTGGTCTTGAACGCCTGACCTCAGGTGATCCATCCACTTTGGTCTCCCAAAGTGTTGCGATTATAGGCATGAGTCACCACACTGGGTTATTATTTAATCTTAAAGCCATTCTTTGATAAAAGAAAATGATTGTCTTGCTTTAACTTTGCATTTCCCCAACTTTTATGAGGTTGAGCATACTTCCTTTTTATTGATCATATGGACTTCCCTCCTTTGTGAACTATCAATTCATTATCTCTTGTCCATTTTTCTACTGGGTGACAATAGAAAATTTCCTTCAGTCACCTTTTTTCTGTTTACTGGTTTTCTCTGAGAGGGATATGGTGATAGTTTAATATTAGTTCTGAAATTTATGTTGCAAATATAAATATGATTTTTCTTCCTTATTGTCTCAGGGAAAAATCTCCAAATCAATGTTGAATTATCATAACATTGTCTACTTAAAAGAAATACTGTAATATAATTTCTGATTATAAAAACCAGCAGGATACTTTAGGTTAAACAGTCTTTATGATAGTTAAGTAGTTTCATGCTACTCTTATTCTTTCATTAGGAATGGCTATCCCACTATCACAGATTATTTTTCTTCATGTCAATCAACTGCATCAAGTTCTTCAGTGTTAAAATGTTTATTAAAATATACCAATATTTTCAGATAATAAACAATGTATTTAACATTTGCAAAATTATTATTTAAAATTTAATTGACTCCTCCTAAACAGGCAACAAATTTAAAAGTGAGTTAAGTAGTTATTTTAAAATAAGTATTTAATTAAATGAATCAAAAGATAATGTAACTTATCACTGTATTTATTTTTTTTATAAAATGCATTTGCAAAAATGTTTCGTCAGACACGGGTGCTACAAAAATAAATATAAAACAAATATACATGTTTACATATGTTACTTATAACATAAATACACATTATTTACATGTTCAAAAATTCCCAAATTTCAGCAGGTTTTGTCCATGATTCTCAACATGTCTGAGACATAGGGAAAACAATAAAAGCAGAAATATACCACATATCATTTATATTTTTGCTTTTAAAAGATTGTTGAATACAAATACATGAACATAATAAGTTTGGGGGTTATGATCTAAGAGCAAAGTCAGGTATACTATTTTATATCCACTCTATTTAGTAAGTGACTCAAGTTTCATTCTGCTTTGTTCTCTCAGAATACATCCTTTACAGTATAGGTTAAAATTATTTCATAGAAAGGCTTTCTGAAGAAGTTAAATTTAAAAAAATCACTTTACTTGAAAGCCAACAAAAAAGTTATTTATTAAACTTATATGTCTGAAAGGAGTTTTGATCAATGAAAATTAGGAGTTGAATTAGAAAACATCAAAAGGATGGAAGACAAACACTGTAATTTCTGTTTGATGTATTCTGGTAATTTTTCATTTTCTCCATACCTAAGTGAAACAAAAGAAAAAAAGACAAAAACATAACTTCATTACTTGGTTCTTATGATGATACTAAAAAGCACCTTATATTTTTCAGTAATTCTTCAATAGCAAGAGGCACCTCAGAAAAATTGTAACAATTATTTACTAGATACCTAAATCAGGTGAAGCATATAGAGTTTCTTTTCTTTTAAAACAGACCATTTTCTCAACACGTTTAAATAACAGAAAGAAAATTAGATAAACTTGAACTGGCTTCATAATTTCATAAGCAAGCCAAAAATCTAGATTCATTAATTTTAAAAGGCCCTAATTCTAAAGAAAAATACCAAACTAAACACATTATGAATAGATTTCTATTTAAATATTAACAATTTCCAAATGATCATACCAAATAAAATGTCAACATGTATCCTGAGAACGAGGGTTCTACCCACTTTGCGTCTTTCCAGTTTCTGGAGCACCTCAAAGAGCTTTTAACAAAGTTTCTCACTTGAAGCATAGTTTTTTAAGTGATGGCACTGCATTATATACATTTAACATAAAAATGCAGTTGGTAGGTATCTACAGATTTTATTTGTCCCAAGTGTTTCCATTACAATAAGCACTTCTCCTATAAAGTAGCATGTCTGCATTGGGATCATCAGCACCGTACTTTCATTAAGTTCTGGTTTAAATGTGGAAAGCAAACGACTCCTTGTTTCTCCTATTGGCAGACTTATTTTTGGCTTGGTGCCTGATACACATTTTCATATAGGATGAATATACACATTCAAAAACATTAATCACTTTACATTAGATTGGGGATATAGCCTTTCATTTGGGAAAAATAATCAGGTTATATCTTAAAACAAAGATTTCTTTTTTTCTATTCAAGTAAATAGGTTTGGTATATTACTTTGAACCTAGAATTAGAAGTCCCTTACTTCTGAAAGGGGCCAACCAAGTTACTCTATGGAACAGTAAGGCTATGAGGAACCCAACCTCTTAGAGTAGATTATTCATACCAATTGCTCTGCATTAATACAGATAATTATAAAATATGCATAAACAATTATATGCTAAGAATAATTAACAGTTTAAAGAATCATATTATCATTGTCAAAATGAAAGAAGTAACTTTTTAAAATCATCTATTTCAAAATATAGAGAAAGAGAAATTATAGCAAAGGGCTGAATCTCAACCAGTATTTTAAGAACTTACCTAGTTGTTTGACCATTTGGTGAGGTATAATTGATAGAAGACACTCCTGCCTGCACAACCAACTGGGACCCATCATTAAACTGAACCCACACAGCTCCGCTAGTTAACTAGAAAAATAATAAGCATAGGTAAGCACAGGCACAGAAAAAAAAAGCAGCAGCGGCATACAAAATTACTATACAGCAGAGGATTTATGGTTCTGTATTAATATTTAACATATTTAACAGGTTTTCCACAGTTAAAAAGAAACTCTCTAAGTGACTACAAATTTGGGGCTATGATGGTAGTAGCACTGAGAATATTCATGTCTTTTTCAGATTATTCCTTTAATAGCTAAGATATTATAATATTAAAATTATTCTAAGTAAATCCTGTTTCCCATTAATTTCCTTTAGGATTTCGAAGTAGTTTTTTGGTGGTTGTTTTTTTTTTTCCCCTATAAGAAATCTTTAGTATTTCTTACCAAGAAAAGATTTAGGAAATAAAAGCAATATTTTCTTTGTCCTTAGGCCACAAGAATGTCTTTCCTGGCCTGAGAATATTATATTTTAGCTTCTGAAACGTCTTCCTTTAGTCATTAGTAGTCACAATGTGTCACTGAAAGCGGAGAAGCACATAGTATATGGACACCAAATCAAACAGACCTAGGCTCTGCCATCTAGACTCTGCCAACTTAAGAGTACAGCATAGGACTGTGCAAGTCAATCTACTGTTAGAAACCATAATTTTACTATCTATAAAAGGAGATACATCAACTTTACTAGGTTATTTTGGAGAATAAATTAAACAATGTATATGAAACACATGGTAGATACCACAAAGCAGGTGCTCAACAAATGTTACCTACCCCCATAAAGTACTAGGCTGCATTTTATTTTACTAATAAGTAAAAGTACATGTGCTAGGCTTAGAAGTCTCCAAGTTTCAAATTTTCAGATAACATACACATGTAAGTTCACACCTACATAAAATTCTGTAAGTTTGAAACTCAATATTGACTTCACTTTTTTTTTTTTTTGAGACGGAATCTTGCTTTGTTCCCCAGGCTGGAGTGCAGTGGCGTGATCTCGGCTCAGGACAACCTCCACCTCCCGGGTTCAAGTGATTCTCCAGCCTCAGCCTCCCACATAGTTGGTGTGTGCTGCCTGACCCGCTAATTTTGTATTAGTAGAGACAGGGTTTCACTATGTTGGCTAGGTTGGTCTGGAACTCCTGACCATGTGATTAGCTTGCTTCAGTCTCTCAAAGTGCTAGGATTACAGGCACGAGCCACCATGCCCAACCTTGACTTCACTGTTTAAAAGAGATGGGGTCTTCCTTTGTTGCCCAGGCTGGCCTCGAACTCCTGGACTCAACGACCCTCCCATTTCAGATTCTTGAGTAACTGGGACTATAGGCATGTGACATCACACGTGGCTTTCACTTGACTTTTAATGCAAAAATCCTTTTTTTCTTTTGCCAAATGAAAGTTACTCTATTAATACTGATTACAAATAATTTCCAAACTTAAAATGTCCCAGATATCACAGTCTACTCTTCATAATTAGTCATTATCATGACCTCTACTTTAAAAACAAAGGGCAAAAGTAGGTCACCCAGGCCCTAGCAGGCAACCTCTTATCAGCAATGTCTGGAGTCTTTCAACTGTATATAAATTTAGAAGTTAAAATTTTTAATGATATAACTGATGTAAAAAGGCACAAAAACTTCCTTGTAAAAAGGTATCATTACAATAATTTGTATATTTTGGTAATTGTCTTATCAGTGTGAAAATGAAAAGAAATTCATAATGAGAAAATTCACTCTACTAGAAACTTCTCACCTGTGTAGCCCAACCAACATTTTTCACAAAAACAGATTTCAAAAGTTGTGCTGATTTAGGTAGACAATCTTTTAGACTATTAGAAGAGATGTCTGTTCCAGAAGCTGTAGCTATAAGAGCAAGTCCTTCATTTGTAATCATCTACAAAGAATAAAGGACAGGAAGATATTATTCCTCAGCATTTTTATAAGCCAAATTCAGCAAAAGCAGAAAATTATGGGATTTTTCATTAGCTGAATTTTTTAAAAACAAAAATTTTTTAATGAAAATATAACCACATTATCGGAAATTAGAAAAATACAGAAAAGAAAAAAAACCCCACCCAATTGCTGTTTTCATTTTAGTGGATTTCTTTCATCTTTTTATCCCATGGCATATTATTTTTATGCATGTAGGTGAGTACACACAAATACACACACCTATTTCTTTAATGTTGCATTTTTCTACGTTGCTATATAATCTTCATCACCATGTTCATTAAATATATAATAAATTTAACTGTGAGCCTATCATGAGCATTTAGGCAGTTAATGATATTTTGTTAGTAAAAATAAAACAACTATATATGTATATATTAATATATTTAGCTTTTCCAAGAGGGCTGAGATTGGGGCTCATTGAGGTAACATTTAAAGAGACCTAAAAAGAATTACTCTTATAAAGTTAAGAGGTTAGGGAAAAAGAGTTCTAGGTCAAGTGAACAGCATGTGAAAAGGCCTTTTGACTTGTTTAAAGAACTGAAAGAAGGCCTTTGAGGCTTAAGCATAGATAGTATGGGATAAAGTGGCTCAGGATGAGGTTGGAAAGTAGGTAGATGATAGTAAAGCCAAAATAAACCACTTTATATGATGGGCATCAGGCAATCATTGAAAGGTTTAAAGTACAGAAGTGACATATATTTACTTACAGAGGGATTAAGCATTGGTGCCTGCGATGGAGAAGCAGCACTATTCATGGCCATTCTATTGAAAGATGCTCCATCTCTCGATGGGTAATTTGAATCCACAGAAGGAGGAGGTGATAAGGCCTTAGGTGAACTAGTACTACCAGGTTTTCTGAAGGAGAAAAGTCCAAATATATTCCCTTGAAGCTTTCAATTTACAGAAAACTAAAGAATGGTTATAATATAAACACCAAACTTTTAAAAACATTTTAGCTAGATGTTTAAAATTTGCAGACATTTACCTTCCTATGATTATTGGGAAAAAGGGAGCACTCCTAGTTTTCCTTTCCTCTTCTGAAATTATGGATTCCAGTGCTAAACAAATACGATGACCCTATTTCAAAAGAAGAGTGCTTCTGTCATTATTTCACCTATGTCATTTATAATCATTATTAATTAGTATGAAAAACTTATAATTAGGTATGTACCTCGTTAGCATGGTCCATATACATTTTCATCTCTTCTTTCAAGCTATTAACTTCACTTTCACTTTTTAAAGTATAAGACTTCCCTGTCTTTTCAATCACCTGAATGAAATCTTTTGTTTTGTGTATTTTTGCCCCTAAAAAAAAAAAAAAATCAGAAAACTGTTCTCTTATCCTTTTTAAAAATATTCCTAGATTTATATTAATTATCGTATCAGTATATAATGGCTCCTACATCAAGGTATCATTTTTATTCATTTATTGACTATTAGAGACTATCAAAGTATGCAATAAATATAGGTCATCCATTTTTTTCCCCAACATATATCTTGTTTAAGTCTGATACTTTTATATTTTAAAAAGTCACTACATTCATACAAAAACATAATTTAAGGATAGCTATAATTATATGTGTACTATATGATATGAATGCTTTGCATCCCTTAAAGGAGCTTTATAGATTAAAAAAGTCACCTTTATGAAATAGATTTAGAAAATAAGAAAATTCATCTTTATAGAATAGATTTAGAAAATTCTCTGACTCAACCCTATCCTTTTTGCTAAATTTATAATACTCATAATTTGGTATATATCCATTTAAGGTTTCTAATAAGAAATAGGACACTGCTCTTTTCATGTGATTTTTATACTATCAGTCTAGATGTAGTTAAACTGGAGCTATGTAGGAAAAGAGGACTAATATACATATTATAAGATAAATTGTTTAAAGGAAGGTATATATAAATTTTGATTAATATGATTTGACATGTATACTCTGCTATGCAACTTATATGTATAGTTACATACATACACATCTTTAAAACTGGCTGTGTTGAATTTTAAAAACCCACATATATGTAACTACTAAATTCCAAACTAAAGGAACTAGTTACCATTTCCAAATGGTACTTACCATCATAAAACCAAACCTCGAAATCAGCACCAGGAGAATTCTCCATCAAAATGCATTTAGCGTATCTTGTAAAATAAGTGATTTTGGGAGATTTAGATCTTACAAGCTGTACAAACCTGGAAGCATATTGATATTTTCGCCAGTATTTTTCTAAGGAAAAAATAATTACTTAACATTAGGGAAGAAAGTGTTGACTTGACATATAGTTTTACCTATTTATTTTTATTTCTAATAGAGTTAGATTAGACAGGTTTTCTTATTCTTTTCTACGAGTCACCTCAATGAAGTCTTACTCTTCAGTACTTATGTCCCCAGTCCATAATATCCAGAAACCAAACTGAGAGTCAAATTTGGTTAACTATAATCATAAATAATCATTTATGTAGCAGCTGTGATTTCAAAGGTCACTAGATACTTCATGGTCAATCAGTTTTTAAATACAGAACGCTTCACAAATTTGTGAGTCACAGGGGCCATGTTCTCTGTAACATTCCAATTTTAGTATATGTGCTCTGAAGCAAGCAATGTAGAATTTTTTAACACAATTATGGCCACATTCTAAACAAATGTACAAATTATATTTGTGAGACATATGACTAATGTTCTAGAGTTAGTTTTTATAGTACCATTCTAACACAGAATATTAATAGTAAACATTGCATTAAAGGCATACAACTCTCACCAGAAACAAAGTACAAGAATATGATATGACCTAAAGTTTGACTGAAGCCAAGATATTTATAATTTATCATATCTATATATAGAGTTTATACATAAATACATATAAATCTATATTCCAAATTTATTCCCTGGTAAATTTGCATACCTGGTAAATTGTCAAAGCTGTACCTACTGATGTTGTCAGTAGGTGAGGGAGGTCTATCAGCAAGAGGAAAATCTCTTCCATCATTTGGATAATAAATAGTGATCTGCCAAAAAGATTTTTAAAAAATTCTAATTACATACCATTAAGTTCCAGTATTACATTTTGCTCGAAAGTATGAGAAGTGTTTAAATGTAACATTAAATATTATTTTATAGAAAAATGTTAAATATTCTATAAAAACATTTTCTTTGCTTTTAAATTGAAGGCAAAAATTTAGATTTTGTTACTAGAAATAATTATATTTAATAGTACACTAATTTATTAAATATGTTTAATATGCTATTTCAGTTTTTGAATTCCAGAGACACTATCATAACAGGAAACTGATTTTAAAAAAACTTACATAACTGTAAAATAAATTAGAATGCTAAATGTGCTTAAGTAATAATTTGAAGTTGTAAGATAAAAAATAACTCCACATTACCGTATTTCCATCACTAGATATCTGAAGAACTTCTTTCACATATTCTTGAGATGCATACTCCTTTAGAAGCTCCACACACACCTCCTCTGAATCAAGTATGCTCACCTAAAAGAAAAACCCCAAAAATCAGCAAAAATTCTTTTGTTTACTAGAACAGCTCTGACATACATAGTACTTAGGAATACTTAACCATGGCAGAAGCAAATATTGAAGTCAAAATCAAATAGCTGCTTCACTACAACAGTCCAGATCAGAGGTATATTTGAGTACAACTGTGAACCATATGGTACAAAGGTAAGAATGTATACTGAAGTGTGAAATGATAATCAATCAGCAGAAAGCAAGCAGAAGGTAGGGTGGAGATTAAGGGCTTTGAAAAGATAATAGCAAGCCAAACAAAGGCAAGAATGGAATGGGAAAATGGGAAACAAAGAACAGGATAAAGATAGAATTAAAAAAAAAACACACAATTTTCAATTCAGATATATTAGTTTTTAAACTCTAAACTTAAATGTGCACATGCCTTTTACTTCCAGATGCTAAAATAAAAAGTTATATTTTCTAGTTTTTTAAAAATTTGAGATAGGATTAAATTTAGAAAAAAATAAAAGAAGCAAAAGGATAATATTAAATATTAACTCACTGATTGGAACTGTGAACAAAATAACCTGTAACACAGCATATAGCTGGTATTATTTTAAAATGTTTTCATTCAAATCTATTTTAATAATATGAAATCTAAAACTTATCAGTATCAATTCACTATTCTTAAGAAGATAGAGGGAAACAAGAGCCGTTTTTCCATAAACACCCAGTTTCTTTTCTCTTTAATATAGTTGATCACGTACACACCCCAAGTACAAGGAACATTACAGAGGACAAAAAAAATATGTTCTCAAGAATTGTATTCTCAAGTAAAATGTTATGTAGTAACTTAGGAAAATAACAGACATACCACGGCCTTTTTGGTTTTCTGTCTGATTGGTTTTAATCTGTGAGCAATCAATGGAGATGTAATGCTTCTTAATGTACGATTCTGATAACCCAATGGTGGCTCCATATCCCTAGTCTTACTCTGTTCAGAAAGAGGATCTAAGGCAAAAACACATTCTTGTTGGATTATCCCAGGTTTACTGTGAAGTGCCATCATGTATTTCATGGTATTTGGCTGATTTACAGAATGTGCATTATCAGAAGCATCAGAGCTCTTTTTGACTTTTATATTAGTCCAGGCATTTTTTGATGTGTCCTTCTGCAAATCTGGATGGTCCTGGAAATCCTGGTTTGAGCTGATGCTGTCATATTCAGTAGTTTTTCTTAAATGAGCTGTAATATACATATAGAATCAAGCAATTTAGTAAATAACTAAAAACACAAGTTGACACAAAACAATGTCATTCTGATTATGACAGCATTTTTTGAACAAAAGAAACCTAGTAAAAAAAAAAGCTCTTAATTTTCTAACAAATAAGCAGTTTTAAGACATAATAGGATAGTGACTTTGAAAGGACATTTTAAATCAGATTGTGAAGAAATATCTTTAGTATTCCTAAGACTACAACACAAAAAATATTAACATAAAATTAATTTTTCAATCAAGGTAAAAACTAGTCACGATATGGTCACCTATTAATCCTGAAGCAAGCAATCGCCAATGCTCCAACAAAAGCAGATTTGAGTTGCCAAGTAATCATTCTACATGAGAAAAATACAAAAATTTACTCTCTTTAAGAACGGTGTAGCCCATCTTTACTTAGAAATGCTTGTAATTAATGAAAATATGCAACTAAAAGCAAAAACACTATATGAACAGCTTTAATATTAATATTTAATATTACCTATGTACTTGCACCCACATTTTTAAAAAAGCTATTAACTTTACCAATTTATATTTTGTATGGCCTTAAAGTTCACATACAAAACATTATCTTTTAAAGGCTTTAAATGAACAAATTATATAAAACTTGGTAAGGCAATTTTTCAACACTAAACTCTAAAAATTTGAATTGTAATATTTTTCTTTTTCTTTTTTTTTTTTTTTGAGACGGAGTTTCGCTCCCCTTACCCAGGCTGGAGTGCAATGGTGCGATCTCGGCCCACCGCAACCTCCGCCTCCTGGGTTCAGGCAATTCTCCTGCCTCAACCTCCTGAGTAGCTGGGATTACAGGCACACGCCACCATGCCCAGCTAATGTTTTGTATTTTTAGTAGACACGGGGTTTCACCATGTTGACCAGGATGGTCTCGATCTCTTGACCTCATGATCCACCCGCCTCAGCCTCCCAAAGTGCTGGGATTACAGGCTTGAGCCCCCGCGCCCGGCAATATTTTTCTTAAATGACTTTTTTAGTGCTTTCCCCTACTCTCATTATGATAAAGTATTTTGTGTCAAATAATATACTGAAAAAATGCAGGAGCACTACTGGATTATTATAAACAAGGTTATTTCTCTATCTCAGACAAGTCTGTGTTACTGAATATTAGTATCTGTAAACATAACAGATGTGCAAAATTAAGTACGTGGCAGTTTTACAGTTTATAAAAAACAAACCTGAATTATCATCTCCAAGAAGTACAAATAAAAAGATTAATTTCCTTTTATGCTTCTGAAAATAATATAATTTTAAAAAAAGAAAACAAGAATAGACTCAAGATAACATATAACTCTCTGCTTAAATTACAGTTGTATTATGTGCTTTTTGTCTACGAAGTAATATGACACTTAGTAAAAAATGATCTCCTCCTCTCCATATGTCTTTTTTATTCTCTCTTTTTTACGTCATTATTTCCCAACTCACCTTCTGTGAATCTGTCATGTTCATTATGAGCAAGGTTTAACCTTCAAATTCTGTATTATAGACAACATAATGACGTGGATGATAGCTGTTTAAAAATGTTTAGGTTTTAGGAGCTCTGTACTTCAGTGTGAGGTTCCATTGGTACCCTATAATGTCCTTATCAGCTTCTACTTAAAAATAAGGTCAACCATCTTTTGATTATTTTATGGGCACTGATAGTAGGTGCTGATTATTGAGAGGTTGCAAAGCAGAGGGGTTAAGAATAAAGTCTCTGAGCCAGACTACTTACATTAGAACCCTGGCTCCTCTACTGAATGGTCACATAGCTTGGGCAAATTAAGCTCTGTGTACCCAGTTTCCTCATCTGTAAGACGGAGACAGTAACAGTATCTTCTTCATGTTTTTATGTGAGAACTTAATATATGTTAAATATTAAGGACAGTGGCTGACTTATAGCAAATATTCAAATATTGTAATACAGCTTTATTGAGATGAACTGAAAACGCTTTTTTTTTTTTTTTTTTTTTGGAGACAGAGTCTTGCTGTTACCCAGGCTGAAGTGCAATGGCATGATCTCAGCTCACTGCAACCTCTGCCTCCCTGGGTTCAAGTGACTCTCATGCCTCAGCCACCCAAGTAGGTAGGATTATAGGTGTATGCTACCACGGCCAGCTAATTTTTGTATTTTTAGTAGAGATGGGGTTTTACCATGCTGACCAGACTGGTCTCCAACGCCTGACCTCAAGTGATCTGCCTCGCTTCCTTCCAAAGTGCTGGGATTACAGGCATGAGCCACTGCACCTGGCCAATGTTCTTTCTTTTTTTTTTTTTTTGAGGCAGGGTCACAGAGTGCAGTGGTGTGATCATAGCTCACTGCAGCCTTGAGTTCCTTGGCTCAGGCAATCCTCCTGCATCAGCTTCTCAAGTAACTGGGACTATAGGTGCATGCCACCACACTTGACTAATTTTTTTATTTTTTGTAGATACAGGGTCTTACTATGTTGCCCAAACTGATCTTAAACTCTCGGCCTCAAGCAATCCACCTGCCTTGGCCTCCCAAGTATTGGGATTAGAGGCATGAGCTACTGCACCCAGCCAGAAAATGATTTTCTTTAAAAACTTCAAATAGAACACTGCAATGATTGGTAAGTGTCCAAGTAATTAATTCTCAATTAAATACTCAATTAAAAACTCACCATTTATTTGCAGATTCCCAAACCACTGTTGTACTGTTTCAGTCTGAGGTGTCAGGTCTGCAAATGGAAGAGGAGTTTTTCCTGGGCAAAGATGATTGGAGCTAAACAAACAAACAAATAAAAAAATCCCATAAACTAATAAAAAATTATCAGGTAACTTTTTAAAGTAAAAATATTAGGAAAGGAAGATTTCTTCTGATTTGAACACCTGAACATTTTAGAATAGCTATAGAAAACAATATTGGCATAACTATGTTATCTCTAAAAAGTTAAACTCCCATGCCAAAATGCCCAGGGCACTTTGATAACATTTCTATAAGGCTTCTGCCCTCTTATAACTTAAGCATAAAAATCATAAAATGACCAGAAAAAGAAAAAAACCACACTGTACTCACTAAAAATTAGTTTTCATGTTGGAAGCAGTCAGTATTATGACCACTCAGGCTCAACTTTTCTATCTATGCATATAGTTATTACTAAAGTACTTTAAGAGTAAGGTATGACTAATATATAATACTTTGCACTGGAGACCCATTCCATATTAAAATTAAAAAATGAGACTAAAAGTTTCCAAAAATTAAGCAATCCTATAAACACATTCATGAACACACACACTCACTCCTTTTAAGACTGTTAACCACAGGTCAAATCATTATTCTAATTTTCATCCTAATAATAAATAAATATCATCATTGAGAAGTACCTCAGAAACATGACAGTATATATATACATATTTAAAGACATTCATTTCCCTGGTAACCCTGGCTTAAATGCAGCTTCATATTTATACTAGTATAATGTTTACCAAAAAATAAAACACCTTTGATAGAATTCTTACAGTGCTTGATTGTTATCAGGTTTTTCAAAAGATCCAGAACTGTTGGATGTCTTCTCTTTAAAGAAGTTAAAGATGTTGGCATTGTTGTTTGTGGGCGAGTATCTCTCTTCATTTTCACCTCCTCCTGATCTTTTGGACTTTGAAAGCATTTCTGCTGAGTGACATCGTTCCATTGTATATGTTTTTGCTCGAGATTGACTATTAGAAGTGCCAGATCTATCAGAGGAATGAGCTCTACGAAGGTATCGAGAATGTGGTCTTTCTTCTGCATTTTGAAATACTCTTCCCCTTCCACTATAACTGGTTTCTTGATTTCCCCACTGAGTAGAAAAACTGCTTCCATTTCCTGAAGAAGAAAAATCACTTGAACTTTTATTCTTTGGAAATACAGTCATTTTATTTGGGAGGGGCTGACCAATCAAAAGTCTTCTTTTGTCAAATAAACTACCACTTATACTGGTACTGGAAGAAGCTGTAATTGCAGTAGAAATTGTGGCATGCCCACTATCGATTGAGTCTTCCACAGTTCCTAAATCTTTAGTTTTTGTTGAAGAATTTCGGGACATAAAAGGATGGTCCAATACTGAAGACAGACTTAAACGATCTGCTGGATTTCTACGAAGTAATTGGTGAATAAGGTCCTTGGCCTCTATTGACAAAAAAGTTGGCATTTCATAATCTGCCAATACTACTTTATTTAATGTGTTCTTGACTGTGTCAGTGTCAAAGGGTGGTCTCCCGATAAGTAATGTATAAAACATACAGCCCAGGGACCAAACATCAGATTCAAGGCCATGTGCACTTCGAGTTGCAATTTCTGGTGAAATGTAGTTAGGAGTTCCACATAGTGTATAGTGCTTTTCATGTGGCATTTTCAACTGAGTTGCCAGCCCAAAATCAGCAATCTTGATGTTCATATTACGAGTAAGTAAGAGGTTAGAAAGTGTGAGGTCCCGGTGTAGTATACCATGAGAATGAAGATACAACATCCCTGTGATGATCTGGTGCATGAAGTGTCGAGCTGTTAGGATATAAAAAAAGAGAATTTACAATTTAGAAACTCTGGAAGATTCAGTGTCTAGTATTTAGTAAACATTATGAAACCCAGGTACATATGCTAGAGTGTTATATTAGAACACTGGCTTGGAGCTTAGAACCATAGCAATTAAGAAAAGAAACAATTGCACAAACAATTTCTACATATATTCTAATTGTAAAAAAAAAAAAAAAGCTAAAGTCCCATCCGCGTCTCCCAAACTCTCCTAAGTAATCAGTTTGTAATTTGTTTTATACCTTCATCAGCATGCTTACATACATTTAAATCTAGAGATACACTGAAATAAATGCTTTTTAAATACAACAATGGTATCAAAAATATAGTTTCATTACTTTTCTCCCCGCTTCACAATATTTCTTAGAGATATTTCTATATCAGTACCAGAGATCTTTACTTGCTATTGATGAGTATTTGGATCATTTATAAAATTTCAAGATTAAAAATGTGGTAATAAATATTCCTGTACATGCTTATTTTCTTGAATATATGCATGCGTTGTTTCTCTATGGTAGATTCAAGATGTAGAATCACGAGGTTGAAGGATAGGAAAATTTAGTATTGTCATACCACACAAAATTACCCTTGAAAAGCCTATATTTTCATGTACATCCTTGTTAACATTCAGTAGCCTCAATTTGATGAATAAAAAATAATGGTACCTCATTATTTTGGTTGGCATTCTCATGATTACTATTGGGTTTGAACATCTTTTCATATGTTTATTAGTCATCAGTATTTTCTCTTCTGTGAATAGTCTGCTCATATTAGCTGTCCATTTGTCTATTCAATTAGCTTTTCTTTTTAGGTGTGTCTTATATCTTTTAATACAGTACTAATTTTCTAGTTGTACATTTTGCAAATATTTCCTTCCTATCTTTGTCTTTTAATATCTTTTGTCATTGTAAAGTTTTAAATTCTAATTTAGTCAAATTGATAATTATTTTCCTTTATAGGTTTTACAGGTTCTGTCTTATTTAATAAGGCCTTTTTCTTTTCTTTCTTTTTTTTTGTTTTGGAGATGGGAGTATCGCTCTGTAACCCAGGCTGGAGTGTAGTAGTGTGATCCTCACTCAATGCAGCCTCTGCCTCTTGGGTTCAAACAATTCTCCCACCTTAGTTTCCCAAGTAGCTGGGATTATAGGCTTGCACCACCATACCTGGCTAACTTTTACATTTTTAGTAGAGACAGGGTTTCACCACGTTAGCCAGGCTGGTCCTGCCTCGGCCTCCCAACATGCTGGAATTATAGGTGTGAGCCACTGCGCCAGCCAAATAAGTCCTCTTTCTTATGAAGTATTATACAAAAATGCAGTAGTCATTATCAACATGTATATTGATTTTTTTTTCAATTTGTATTATTTGTTTGGAATAAAATTCCAACAATGGAATCTGAGTAAAAGAATATAAATGTTCCATAAATCTAAATTCATATTCCCGAATTGTTTTCCAAATGGCTTACAAAGATTCAGATGTACAAGAAGCCTATCAGCAACCACCTCTCTTAACTTACCTGTAATTTCAGTTAGCAGAGCAAGATAACTTGAAAACAATTACTCGTGTCAATGTATAGACATTATTTGATTCTGCTTTGAATTGCAAAAAATTATTTATGAGAAATTGAGGAAGTCCGATGCTATATATTTGATAGTAAAGAATTATTAGGTGTGACAATGACTTTTTGAGTATGTTTTTAAAGAAGTCTATATTTTGAAATATTTTAAGTTAAAAATGTCTATAATTTGCTCCAAAATATTTCGGAAAATCAGGGTAGTACAAACAGTATTGATGAAATAATATAACCACGAGTCACTATAGCACATTACTTATATGTTTCACATTTTCTATAATAAACAGTTTCAATGGCTATTTGTGCTTGATTTAGAACTACTCTATAGCCACCAATGGCATCCTAAAAAGCTTACACTAAACTGCTACCAATAATTTAATTTAAAATGTGGTTTTAAGGACAGAAGGACAACAAATTTCTAACTTTACCACTGTAGTAATTGAATTGTTTTAACAATTAGCAGCATGGGAAATCTTTTCTAGCCTATTTCAAACAGTTTTACTATATATTACAAAATAGCATATTCCTCAAAACTACACTTTAAAAGCAAAATTTTTATCTACCCAAACAAAAAAAAAACAACAGATGCTTACCTTCATTTTCTGAGAAGGGTTTCACTCTGTTCTTTAGATACCTGTTCATTTCTCCATTATGGCACATTTCTAATACCAGATACACATAATTGCTATCTTCAAAATAGTTATAAAGCTGAAATGTGAAAGGGTGTAATAAATTAAAATATACAAAAATTCAGTGTCCTTGGTCACTTCTATAAAATTAGTATCTTACCTCCAAGATAGAAGGATGTTTCAATTGGCAATGTATTTTCACCTCATTTTGGACTCTCTGTACCATTCCTGCTTTGTACATGGCTTTCTTATCTATCTAAAAAGAACAGGTTTAAATGTTGACAAACTTTCAAATGTAAACAGGTTAAAAGCGAACTTTGAAAACAAAGTATACTTTAAGTTAAAATAGTCTGAAGTCCTTTTATATGTCTTTGCAGTCAACCTACTGTTATGTTTTCCCCATGCACCTAGCAGAGTGCTTGGCAAAGAGAACGCTTAGTAAAAGTTTGCCCAATTCATTCTAATATCCTCTCTCAATTTAAATAATCTAATAGCACAACTAGCCTAACTATAAGGGAAAAAAATTCCCAACTCAGGCAAACTTTGCAACAAAAACTCCCTTTCGTTTTCCAAGTGGTTTAGATAAAAGATTCTTTGTTTTTTTCTTTTTTAATGACAGGGTCTCACTCTGTTACCTCACTGAAGCTGGAGTGCAGGGGCACGATCACAGCTCACTGCCGCCTCAACTTCCCAGGCACAAGCAATCCTCCCACCTCAGCCTCCTGAGTAGCTGGGACCACAAGCTGCCACACCCGGCTAATTTTTGGTAGAGAGGAGGTTTCACCATGTTGCACAGCTGGTCTCAAACTCCTGAGCTCAAGCGATCCATCCGCCTTAGTCTCCCAAAGTGTTGAGATTACAGGCATGAGTCACCCACCCGGCTGAAAATTTGCTTATGTTTATGTTACTCCTATTAGACTGACTTCTAACAATGAAGAATAATATTTTAGATTATTACAGTGTAACAGAATTATACACAGTATACTCTTATAAACGAATTACTTGTTAGTTGATTTCTACTCATTACTCCCAGTATGCATAATTACACCATATACTAGGTCTACTAAATATTAATGAAGATAAAACACTTATTTAAGCAAGGTCAAGGCTTTCCTAAAATATTCTTAAGCTCAACAGCTGGACTTGGCACTATTGTCTTCTGCCTATGTAAAGTGTTCTTTACGCCACAATCAAAGGAAAGGCTGGTGTGTAAGGAGTTTCTGACATTTCTGTAGTTACTTGCAAAGTACAGAAGTTGATTAGTTTCTTACCATTTTGATTGCAACTTCCAAACCAGTGTGAATGGACTCAGCTCTGTAGACACCAGCAAATGATCCTTTACCAAGGAGATTTCCAACTTTAAAATCCTTAAAAGTTAAAATTAAAGATTATGTGTGATGACTCACAGTAGAAAGGAAGATGGGAAGGGGCTGAAAAAAGAAGATAAAATGGATCGAGAGGGGAATTTGACAAAATTCAAGCAGGTATTACACCTCGATGCAGCAGGTATCTAGGGTGGAAGTCATGTTGGCTCAGTGCGGGGATCCCTGAGCTTCCAGGCTGGACTCGAGATGGTGCACCCTAGTGATCTGGTTCCTTAACCTCAGTGCAGCCTAAGCGTCCTCCTCCCATCTCCAGCCAACCCTTGGCAGCCGAAGGCCTGGTCAGAATCCCGCCGCAGCTCCCGCCGGAGATAACCGTCATCGCCTTGGAGAAGCAGGAGGTAGCTCTGCCCTGTTCTAGCGCGGCAGCTCGGGCGGGATTGCTTACAGCAAGTGGCAGTGCCTGGGGACACAGTCGGGCGGCGAGGGACTCACCTGTCCCGCCTCCTCTACCGCTACGGTCTCCGAGGGGCGGGCCGCTCCGCCCCTAAACAGCTGGGGCCCGGCGGTTGGGACCCTCCCTAAGCACCTCGGCGCCGGCCCCGCAGCTGTTAGCTTCGCTCGCTCCCCTTCCCACGGCGGTCTCCAGTCCCGCCATAACTACTCCTACCCGCCCAGCTGCAGACTGCCGAGTATTTTCACCTCGATCTTCTCCCCGATGCAGGTCGCCATATTTCCAGGCCCCGGCCTGGGTTCTCCGGATTAGCTTCCTTCACGCAGTCCCTTCGAGGCAACGCTCCAAGCAGCCAGCCGGTCTTGGCTCCCATCAGGTTCGGTTCTCTAGGCCGCCGCTCCAGGCGACGACGCTAAAGCCACGGAAAGTTCTCCCCGACACCGTCCAAGGTCTGGGCGGTGCCTCTGCGCTCCCATTTTGAAAAACTCCCGCCGGTTGCAGTTTGCGAGGCTGGTGGTGACGTAGCGAGACGGCTAGCTCCGGAGAGGTTGCGTCGGGGCGCGCATGCGCAGCAGTCCCTCCTTCGTGGCTGGCCGGTTTCAGACCTCTTCGCCAAAGCCCGGAAGCGCTCCAGGGGTCTTGGGCTTGGGCGGGAGCTTGTCGCGGGCCTACTCTCGGACGACCTTCTGTAAGACGGGTGAAAGAGCAAGCTTTGGAGATGAAACACTTATAGATGATCGGTTACTTCACTGTTCGAAATGCCACTTCTAATTCCGGAAAGGTTTAAAAATATTTTAAAATGTCAAATGTTTAAGACTTGACAGAACAAGGAAAAAAAGCATTACCTTCCGTAAAGGGACACCGTTTACACCACTACCACATACTCCGTAGTTTTTTTGTAACTGTAATTAATGTGTATAGTACCTTAAGAAAACGAACTCCATTCTTTATTTTGGTAAACTCCTCTAAGATTTTAATATTGTGTCATTTGTATAATAACTTAGGAGATCTCATACACTATGATTTGTATGGATCAAAAGAGACGTTTATAAGTTTGGGATGGTTTTTTTTGTTTGTTTTTTTCTTTGGGGGTGTGTGGTGGGGCAGACTCTCACTGTGTTGCCCAGGCTGGAGTGCAGTGGTGCAATCTCAGCTCACTGCAACCTCTGCCTCCCAGGTTCAAGCGATTCTCCTGCCTCCCTAGTAGCTAGGATTACAGGCAAGCGCCACCACCCCCGACTAATTTTTGTATTTTCAGTAGAGAAGGGGTTTCACCATGTTGGCCAAGCTGGTGTTGAACTCCTGACCTCGTGACCCACCCCTCTCGACCTCCCAAAGTGCTGGGATTATAGGCTTGAGCCACCACACCCAGCCGGGATGGTGTCTTGCAGGTGAGAAAAGTGTGATGCTCAAGGAAGGATGTATGACAAACAGAACTAGCGCACAAACTTAGATCTGTTCTTAAATGAAAGCTCTTTTCCTCTACGTTAATGTATATTTCAAGTTTACTTAAATTTGTTTATATGGAAGCTGTAAAAAATCTCTGTTCAGAGAAAAGTCAACTTTTTTCCTTCATTTCCGGATATCCTTCATTAAAGGTAATGTTGTAATGCTTGAGCGGTTCTCATTTAGGTCCCTGATTCCAGTCTTCCAACTAAGACTTGCCTTAGATGTTGACTTTTCAAAAGTTTCTACAATTCGCCATCATTGTTTTTTGTTTGTTTGTTTGTTTGTTTGTTTTGTTTTGTTTGAGTCGGAGTCTTGCTCTATTGCCCAGGTTAGAGTGCAGTGGCTCGATCTTGGTTCACTGCAGCCTCCATCTCCTGGGTTCCAGTGATTTTCCTTTTTTTTTTGAGACGGAGTTTCGCTCTTGTTGCCCAGGCTGGAGTGCAATGGCGCAATCTCGGCTCACCGCAGCCTCTGCCTCCTGGGTTCAGGCAATTCTCCTGCCTCAGCCTCCTGATTTTCCTTTTTCAGTCTTCCCGGTAGCTGGGATTGCAGGCAGTGCCATCACACCTGGCTAATTTTTGTATTTTTAGTAGTGACAGAGTTTCACCATTTTGGCCAGGCTGATCTTGAACTCCTGACCTCAGGTGATCTGCCCGCCTTGGCTTCCCAAAGCGCTAGGATTATAGGCATAAGCCTGCATGCCTGGCCCATTTTTTAAAAACAATTTTAAACTTACAGAAAAGTTGTAAGAATAATAGAGAACTCCTATTGTCCTTTACTCAGTCACCAATTCTTAACATTTTGCCATACGTGTTTTAGTATTCTTCATGTGTAATATACATGTATAAATATATAAATAATATATAATACTATATAAATCATGTAAGCTTAATATTTGTATTTTATGAATCTAAAAAAGTTTATACACTATGTTCTTTTACCTCTTATTTCTAAAATGTGAATTTCTTAAGAATAATGGTATCCTCTTGTGTGTTTATCAAAATAAGGATATTTAACATTGATACAATATTTATATTTAATCTAATCTACAGTCCATGTTTCGATAAAGACATTACTGGAACAATTGTGTTGTTCCAGTAATGTCTTTATTTAGCATTTTTCCCTTCAGTATAGATCTAGTACAGGATCACATAGTATCTTTAGTTGCCATATCTTTTTAGTCTCCTTTAATATGGAAAAGTTCCTCAGCCTTTGTATTTTTGTGACATTGAGATTTTTGAAGAGTGCAGGCCAATTATTTACCATTTGTTCATTCCAGTATTACTGAGGTATAATAGACAAAAATTGTGTTTATTCAAGTTGTACAGCATGATGATTTGATATATATATACAACAATCAAATTAACACATTGTCACCACCGTTAGGGATGTGTGTGTGTGTGTGTGTGTGTGTGTGTTGCATGCCAGTTATTTTTACAAAATCTTCCCTATTTGGGTTTATTTCATGTTTCCTCATGATTAAACTCAGGTTATGCATTTCTGATTGTAATATTACATACGTGAGGTTATGTTCTTTCCAAGATACCACATTTGGAGACACATGATATTGTCTTTCATTAATGATGTTAATTTGATTTCTACTTGCAACTAATAAGCAATCTATGGGAGAGACACTTGAATTTAATGCAAATATCCTACTCCTCAGCAAATCCCTCTCACAATTTAGCGGTATTATTGATTTTTCCTAAACTAGTCTTTACTATGATAGTTACAAAATGATAATTGTTCTCTCTCCGTATTTATTAGAAACAGTTTTGCCAAAAAGAAGAGCCCCGCCTGGTGTGGTGACTCAAGTCTGTGATCCCAGCACTTTGGGAAGTTGAGGCGAGCAGATCGCTTGAGCTCAGGAGTTTGAGACCAGCCTGGGCAAAAGAGTGGAAAGCCAGTCTCTACAAAAAACACAAAAATTAGCCAGGGGAGGTGGCGTGCACCTGTGGTCCCAGCTACTCGGGAAGCTGAGGTAGAAAGATCATTTGAGCCTGGGTGGCCAAGGCTACAGAGTGCCAAGCTCATGTCACTGCACCCCAACCTAGGCAACAGAGCGATACCCTGTCTCAAGAAAAAAAAAAAGAAGGGCCCTACATTTTGCCCTGTTTAAAGATATACAGATGGTCCCCAGCTTATTATGTTTCAATTTATGATATTTTGTCTTTGTAATGCATTTATTTATTAGGGTATTAAATGCATTTTTTTTTTTTTTTTTTTTTTGAGACGGAGTTTCGCTCTTGTTACCCAGGCTGGAGTGCAATGGCGCGATCTCGGCTCACCGCAACCTCCGCCTCCCGGGTTCAGGCAATTCTCCTGCCTCAGCCTCCTGAGTAGCTGGGATTACAGGCACACACCACCATGCCCAGCTAATTTTTTTGTATTTTTAGTAGAGACGGGGTTTCACCATGTTGACCAGGATGGTCTCGATCTCTTGACCTTGTGATCCACCCGCCTCGGCCTCCCAAAGTGCTGGGATTACAGGCGTGAGCCACTGCGCCCGGCTAAATGCATTTTTTGACTTAGGATATTTTTGACTCATGATGAATTTATTGGGACCTAACCCCCTCACAAGTCAAGGAGCATCTGTGTTATCACAGATAGCATAGATGAGTATGGATTTAGGGATTCCCAGATTATTGAATCAGTTATAATCCATTTCCTCAAAAGGGTTATAATCCATTACAATCATTACTTATTTTGGTGTTCAAATTGGGATTTGTTCAGTGAGAGCTCCTTTCAACCTAGCTGTTTTGATAGAACATATGTATATATTTAGCAGTTCTTTACTTTGTGGTACAACAAGATGTTCTAGTTTTATTTTGGGCTTTTTCTGACCCAGCACGGAAGGGAGCCATTTCTGCAAAGTGTCCTGACACCTTTCAGTAGAAAATGGTACTTAAAGAACAGTATCTGGGGGCTCAGCAAGCTTATTGTGACTTAAGTGTCATTGCATCTATGCCTTTTCAGCAGATGGAACTAAAGAAAAAAACTATTATTAGTAATCATGAGTTCAAGTTGATATCACCAATTCTAACCTAATTTCACATAGTTGTTCTTACTACCTTTAATTTCTATTTAATCACTGTTATGTATATATAGTTTTTAAAATTTAAAATCAAATTGTTTATAACAAATTAATAACAATAAGCATACAAACTCTCCATTTCTGCTTCTCAGATGCAACCCTCTTCAATTCATTTAACTGTTCATTTTTATATATCCCACCATATTTCTAAATAACATGCTTATGTTCTTTTTTGATTTTTTTCAGTTATAGATTTAGCTCTATTCTATTGTGAAATATGAGGAACTATTTCCTTAGTTGCTTTTACATTTACCCCTTTCATTTTTCTTTCTTTTTCTTTTTTTTTTTTTGAGACAGAGTCTTGCTCTCTTGCCTAGGCTGGAGTGCAGTGGCACCATCTCAGCTCACAGCAACCTCTGCCTCCCAGGTTAAAGCAGTTCCCTGCCTCAGCCTCCTGAGTAGCTGGGATTATAGGCACCTGCCACCACACCCAGGTAATTTTTGTATTTTTAATAGAGACAGGGTTTCACCATGTTGACCAGGCTGGTCTTGAACTCCTGACCACAGGTGATCCACCTGCCTTGGCCTCCCAAAGTGCTGGATTACAGATGTGAGCCACCACACTTGGCCATTT